GCGAGACATGATGTGCGGCGGTTTGTTGAACAAGTCAATTGACCGTGGAGTCGGAGAGGAGGAGGTCGAACGGTCGACGGGAAAGAGAGAACAGAACTTGAAAGACAAGAAGCTGCAGTGGACAGGCTTCTCTTAATTCCCTGGTTGTCGACTTTGACGTGGGAATTGAAAATGGTGATGAACTGAAGTTGGTGTTGAGAGATGGAACAGGTCGGGTTGAGAGAGGGAATTTCACCGAACAACGCTTTCGCTGGCCAGCTATCAGTTTTTTTTTGGGGCCAGTCGGTACGTATCGTGCCGGAACTGCGAGGTACCTAAGCCCTCACCAATTTCGGGTGACTAATGGGGTACCCGCTCTCCAAAACCCCCGAGTGAGCCTCCGTTAGCTCGGGGCAGCTTTATCCCTCTCTTGCTCCCCGCCTACAGCGACTTTGATGCGACCCCTGCCACTCGCTGCAGCACTGTTTTCGAAGGGTAGCCTACTAGCGCTGAAGCACCTATCACAGCTCAGAACAGAACCCTCCGACCCATTTCGAAAGTCTGTTGGGGGATCCAGGGGCGCATTGGGGGACCATTTATCTCCACCAAAAACTTGAAAACTGAGTGCTTTATCTGCTTAAACACAGTCAGATGACGGTACCGGAGAAACAAGAAACCGCTAATAAGAGATCACCTCAGTATCGAATGTTGATATGATTCAATTAATGCTGTATCATGGCCAATCAGGCTATCAATGACAAGAAATTTGAAATTGTATGGTATGTATATTACAATTATAAGCCAGTATTGTCCCCAAACTCCTCTGCCTTCTGGATCCTCTATATCTTGAGGCCGGCCACTTCATATATGTATGCATCATCAGCCAGCATGATTCAAATGCCCTTTTATATCTTCATAAGATGTTTTTGTTTTGGAATTTTGTTGTCATAAGCCTGTTGCTTTACGCAGAAGGCTTGCGAGCCACCATGAGGTACATGGGGGTGAAGAGGTGATCCCGACCACCAGCGACCAAGCAGTCGGCAGCGAGAGCCAGACTGTCAGCAGTCTTCTTGGTTCCAGCAGGAGCAAGCTTGAATGTCTCAAGAAGGCCAGCCAGACCGTGGGCAATGGTTCGTCCCCAGGTGGTCATGCGCACAATGGTGAAGATGTCACCGACGGACTGGATGTAGCGGAGCTCACCAGCCAGGGGCCAGTACCAGGGAAGAGCATCAGGGCGCATGGCAAGATCCTCGTGGTGGAGCATCTCGAAACCAGAGTCCTTGATGGCGTCAAGTCCCTCAGAGACCTTGCACATGTTGGAGATACCATCACCCTGCTCGATACCCAATCGAATCTCACGGTGGCGGAGGTTATCGTTGTCGTACTCGTCGGTCATGAGCCACTCGTACACACCGAAGACACCACCGGGCTTGAGAACTCGGAAGATCTCGCTGTAGATACCCTTAAGAGTAGGGGCGTGGCAAGTAGCCTCAATGGCATAGACGGCATCGAAGCTGTTGTCAGGGAAGGACATTTGCTGAAAGGGGTATTAGCTGGAGTTCGGGACCCGAGGATGCTGGACTGTACGAACCATAAAGTCACCCTTGACAAACTTGAGCTGGTCAGACAGACCCTCCTTGAAAGCGTAGTGGGTAGCACGCTCAATCTGGTAGTCGTTGTTGTTAAGACCGGTGATGTGGGCGCCAGTGAACTTGGCGATCTCGCGAGCGGGACCACCAACACCGCAACCGACATCGAGAACCTTCATGCCCTCCTTGATGCCAATCTGGTGAGCAAGGTAGTGCTCATGGCGGGCAATGGCCTGGTAAAAGGGCTCGCCCTGGGAGAATCGGCAGAAGTGGAAAGACTGGCCCCAGCCATACTCGTAGAGATCGGTAGCAAGGTTGTAGTAGCTGTGAACCCAGAGTCAGTCGACAGTCCAAAAAAGAGACATTCCAAGACATGGACCAAAAGGCCACGGAGAAACAGAGACAGGAATCAGATCACTTACTGTCGAGTCAAAGTGGCGTATTCAGCAGTACGGGCCTGACCGCTATGTTAGTTCCTCCTATTTGTTCATGGCGGGGCATATCAAGGGATCATACAGCTCGCTCCTCAGGAGTCTCGTCCTCAGCGCGCTTGTTATCCCAGTGCTTGAAGTACTCGTCGACAGCAGCCTGCTTAGCAGAACCGCCCTTTCGGAACATGGCAGCAACACCTCCTCGGGCCTGGGCAGAGGTGCCGTGCATGGCCTTGTTGAAGTCGGCATCACGCTGGTGATCCTCGCGCTCGAGGTTGGAGGCGGTAGAAGAGGCAACCATGTTGAATATGGTGTAAAGTGTTGAAGGTGAAGGTTAAGGTTGAAGAGAATCGAAGTCAATGCAAAGAAGAGAAGGACAGCAGGCGAATTAAAGATCGATTGAAAAGTAGAAATCTAAAGGGAGTGGGTTGGTTTTAATGGCTGAAGGTTACGCAGAGGGACGGCCTGTCGCAACAAACAAATTTCAGGGCCCTCCCCTGAACTGCACAAGCCATCCCGTCTATGGGCATCCAATCTCAATTGCGAATTGAGAAGTAACAGTACGCTAAACTTGAACTGTATTAGTTCCCCTGTCTATCGCTTGGGGGTCTAAGGGGGGCCGGGTCTTGGTCTAGGCGACCCGATAGTTTACGACCCGAAGTAATTTACGGATGCTAAGTTAATTCTCCATGACTTTGGCCTTCATGTGAAAGACAAGGACTTGAACGAGTTGTTGATTTCTTTGGAAAATCTTTGATTTGCTATTGCATTAATTGGCCAAATTATCCTTGTAATTATATCTCCTTTCGCCACAATTCGGAATTGTATGGCGGTGAGAGCGCAGCAGCTAATTGCTGGATGCTAGGAAGAGGTATCCGGAGGCTCAATTTGCGAGAAATGATACGAATACGAAAGCGTCTACGAGAACATTGTCTCTTACAACAAAATAACACTGCAAGTCATGACAACCAACTAAACAATTAGTTGTAGCCGGACAGGTTCCGTCATGATGATGATGATGATGATGATGATGATGATGATGATGATAGGTCTATCATATTACATGCAATGCTTCATCATATTTCGAACTTCTCCAAGTTTCGGATTGCCATACAAATTATTTTCGTTTTCGTATCGAACCATTCATGTTCACCTCATATCATGAGAAGCCCCCCAGATCTACTAACAGCAGATGACTTCTCCAGAACTTTAAAGTAAGAGAATGACGGAAAATAGATCTTATGACGAAGCTATCAGATTATCGATCTGTCTCGTGCAAATCCTCCAAAATGAATGATCCAGTTACAATTGAGCACTTACATCTGTCCGAGTTGACCAGGCAAGGGGAGGCAAGAAAACTTAGGACCTCTTTTCTAAGTGATAAAAAGACTTAGGTAAGCTTAGTCTATCTTAGCAAGCCTTTAGACCAGTTTATTTTAGCACCATAAGTTAACGTCAGAAGTTTTCTTGCTCCTGGGGGCCAGGAGATGTTATTACCGAGGCTTATCGATAAGACTATAGCCCCTCTGCCCAATGACGGCCAACTCCGGTTTTAGGTTTGGAGTCTGAGGCCATATTTTGTATTACATAAGGTGGCGGATGACCGAATTTCCGCGTCTCAACTCCAAAAGTCATCACAGGCAACTAGAAGTTTTTCTCTGCGCAAAATCATTACTCTATCTATTCACAATGCCGCCTCAGATCAAGCAGGATCTCAACCGATCAGGATGGGAGACCACCGACTTTCCCTCCGTCTGCGAGACGTGTCTACCTGATAATCCTTATGTCAAGATGCTTAAAGAAGATTATGGCGCCGAATGCAAATTGGTAAGTCTTTCGCGTTGTTTTCCTCCGCGTTTTCGCATAGAGACAATGCTAACATGTATCTGAATAGTGTACCAGACCTTTCACCGTATTTGCCTGGAGTGGTACTCGCGCCAACGGTCGTAAGAAGCGAACAAATATTTGCTTGACCTGCGCGCGACTCAAGAACTGCTGTCAATGTTGCATGCTCGATCTTTCCTTCGGTCTTCCTATCGTCGTACGCGATGCTGCGCTCAAGATGGTCGCACCCGGCCCGCAGTCCGATATCAACCGAGAATACTTTGCGCAAAACAATGAGCAGCTCATCGAGGAGGGAAAGGTTGGACAGGAGGAATACGAAAAGACGGACGAGAAGGCGCGCGAACTGCTACGAAGACTCGCCAACAGCAAGCCTTACTTTCGCAAGGGCAAGACTATCGAGGAGGGAGAGAGCTCCAAGGGTGGAAACGCAGCTGTAGGCGCTGGTCTTGGAGGACCTGGCCCAATTCGAACCCGAGACTCAAAGGCAGCCGCTGCTGCGGGAGCTAGGACTGGTGGTAAGGGTCGTCAGGTCTTCCCCAGTGCTGCTCAACTCCCTCCTAGCCCACGCGACTGGGCTCCTCCCGCCGACAAGAACATCATGTCACTTTTCGTGACCGGCATCGAGGACGATCTCCCCGAGTACAAGCTTCGCGACTTCTTCAAGGTTCACGGCAAGATCAAGAGCTTGGTCTGCTCACACATGTCGCACTGCGCATTTGTCAACTACGAAACTAGAGAGGCGGCTGAGAAGGCTGCTGAAGCATGCCAGGGTCGCGCCGTTATTGCAGGATGCCCCCTAAGGGTTCGATGGGGACAACCAAAGGCTATTGGTACTATGGACAAGGACGAGAGGACGCAGATGCTGCGAGATGCTAGACAGCGCCAGGGAGGATCTCAAGGCCAGCGATCGATCGAGGGTGGCAGTGGTTCTGCCAACCGTCAGGCTCTGCCAGCTCCTGTGGCAGCACCTCCAGGAGCTTCCGACACACCTGCTTACGCCGCTCTTACTGGAGACTGAATGAAGTAACGACTTGTTTTATGTTCATGTAAGGTAGAAAACCATGCCTTTTGGAGTTTGGCGTCGGGAAAAGGACATCATGGATAGGGTGATCTTTATTAGCGAAAAGGACAATTGATCATGGAGGTTGCAGATTACGTGAGAAACAGGAATAGATGAGAAGCAAAGAGCTATTCTAGAGTGATGATCATTTTGGTGCATTTCATTCCTGGAGGGTATCATGACAGTCAGATAATGTTACAAATTGTACAATGGGACTAATAGTCTCCTCTCATTTTTTACCACCACCGCAGCAGCCACCTCCGACTGTGCCTTTGCCAGCTGTCTTGATAGACTCGTTATCGCCTCGCTCAATGTCTTCATGTATTCTCAGCTCTGTAAATGCTATTAGTTTCCGTTTTCGCCCTCTACCACCCAATCTGAACTTACTGAAGGTGTCCTTGCCCTCCTCTGTTCTTTGACCCTGAACAACGTTCTGACGAAGGACCTTTGCTACCTCTTCGGCATGCTTAATGGCTGCAGAAGCATCGGCAGCATCGATCGAGGCTTTTTGGCGGAACTCGTTGCGGATCTGAAGCTGAGCTGCAGATAGGATAGGGGCGTCGCCTGCAGTGAACCAGATAGTCAGCATAGCCCATTGGGCCAGTCTTGAACATGAACTCGGTTGCATTCGAAGTTCGGTCCCGGAATGGATTCGTACCTTGGAAGGCGATTCGCGCCGCGCGCATTAGGTGTCGGTAAGCATTGAGAGCGGGAGCGGGAGCGGTGGCCATTTTGAAATCTGACAATTCTAGCGAATGGAAAATCTTCGAACTGAAAGGAAGGACTGGCGCAACAGGTCGTGGGTATCGTGCTGGGATTGTCGAGGTCGAGTTGAAGCGGCTTTGAAATCGAACGTAAAAAAAGTCCAGTTCGAGTTCAACTGGATTGGATGGTTTCAATGGCCGGGCGGCTCAGCGGATTACCGGGAGGCCCGATCACTGGGCCGGGAATATTCAGGCGGACCCGGACACATGTAAACGCTATGGTAGAGCATTCTAGAGCACCCTCCCACTGTAACTGTCCGATCGTCCACTGGAACTTTTACCCCGCCAATGAGTTAAGTCCATCCATGGTGGGGGAACTCGATTAAGTGCTCCATTGAAAAAAATTATTACAGCCAAAAAAAACGTCGGGATTTTTCTCCCTCTCCATCACCACACATCACATAATGGCTTCCGTGGCTACTGTGACCCTCCCCCTTCCCGCCCTTCCCAGCGGCTGGGCTGCCGACAAGGACTTCAAGGCCATCGGCAAGCTCACTGAGGCTACTCAGCGAACCATCGAGCCTGTTGGACCTCACTTCCTCGCCCACGCTCGACGTGCCCGCCACAAGCGCACTTTCTCTGAGGATGACCGTATCCAGGCTCAGGAGAGCACCAAGAACGTCGAGGATGGCGATGTCAGCGATGAGAGCGAGCCTGAGGACCCTATGATGCTCCAGCGCGAGGCCAAGGACTGGAAGGTATGTATTTACAATGATTCGAGTCAATATTCCATACTAACGAGCGTGATCTAGACCCAGGACCACTACAAGATTCTCGGCCTCTCCAAGTACCGATGGAAGGCCACTGAGGACCAGATCAAGAAGGCTCACCGCAAGAAGGTCCTCAAGCACCACCCCGATAAGAAGGCCGCTCAGGGCCGTACCGAGGACGATCAGTTCTTCAAGTGTATCCAGAAGGCCACTGACGTCCTCCTTGACCCCATCAAGCGTCGCCAGTTCGACTCCGTCGATGAGGAGGCCGATGTCGAGCCCCCCACCAAGAAGCAACTCCAGAAGACCGACTACTATAAGGCATGGAGCAAGGTCTTCAAGTCTGAGGCTCGCTTCTCCAAGACTCACCCTGTCCCCTCATTCGGCAGTGCCGACGCCACCAAGGAGCAGGTCGAGGAATTCTACAACTTCTGGTACAACTTTGACAGCTGGAGAACTTTCGAGTACCTCGACGAGGATGTCCCCGATGACAACGAGAACCGTGACCAGAAGCGACACCAGGAGCGCAAGAACACCAACGCTCGCAAGAAGAAGAAGGCTGACGACAACGCCCGTCTCCGCAAGCTGCTAGACGACGCTTCCGCCGGTGATGAGCGTATCAAGCGATTCCGACAGGAGGCCAACGCCGCCAAGAACAAGAAGCGTTTCGAGCGCGAGGCTGCTGAGAAGAAGGCCAAGGAGGATGCTGAGGCCGCTAAGCTCGCCGAGGAGAAGGCTCGCCAGGAGGCTGAGGCTGCTGCCAAGGCTGACCGTGAGTCCTCCAAGAAGGCAAAGGAGGCTGCCAAGAACGCTGTCAAGAAGAACAAGCGTGTCCTCAAGGGTTCCGTCAAGGACGCCAACTACTTCGCTACCGGCGAGCCCACACCCGCTGACATCGACTCCGTCCTCGGCGATGTTGAGACCATCCAGGGCAAGATTGATCCTGATGAGATTGCTGCTCTTGCTGGTAAGCTCAACGGTCTCAAGGTTGCTGATGAGATCAAGGCTGTCTGGGCCGGCGAGACCAAGAGACTCGTCGAGGCTGGTAAGCTCAAGGAGGGTGATGTTAAGGTCTTGGTTTAAGCGATGCGTGTTACGTGGTTAGGAAAAATGATTGTTGAGTTATTATGATGGGTTCTAGATAAAAGTAGATACGACGATATGTTTTCTAGATCAGAATAGAACGAGCTCTAGACTTTGTTCAGGCTACGTTTTGATCCCATCATCTTCTCTTGAATCTGTAAATGCGACATGGACAAGTGACATGGTTCTTGTAATGATAACATATTTGTCTGACCTGGAAGTTGTTCAAATCATCCAAGGTGCAAAGTGAGAGAGAAGAGTCATTGAGAAAACCGGGTTCAATATGCCAACTCCAACTGCCGATGTGCGAAAAGGGGAAGTCTATTTGCGTACGGCTCTTGTGCCCCCTCTATATTACAAAAAGTAGTAATGATAAATGTGTACAAAGAGTAGAAAGATTGGTCGTCCTGATTCTGGACTCAAACATATGTAGATGAGTAGAGAACCCCAAACCCAGAAACATGACAAGATCCAAGTCCCGTTTGGCCCTGATATCCTAAGGACAACTCCCTTGAACGCCGGTCCCATCTAATGCTTACGCCTCCCTATCCAGAGACTGTCCCAACACCATCTCATAGTAAAGCCCCCTCTTCGCAACAAGCTCCTCATGTCGTCCCCTCTCAACAATCTTTCCGCCAGCAAAGACACAGATAACGTGAGCGTCTCGAATCGTGCTCAGTCGATGAGCTACAGCAACTGTTGTCCTTCCCTCAGCTGCTCGATCTAAGGCTTCCTTGACGACCTTCTCGCTCTCTGTGTCGAGGGCACTGGTGGCCTCGTCGAGGAGAAGAAGGCGTGGCTTGCGGATAAGAGCTCGAGCGATGGCAATACGTTGACGTTGGCCTCCTGATAGTGAGAGACCTTGGTTGCCGCAGGGCGTAGTAAGACCCTCAGGGAGGGAAGAGACGAATTCATAAACGTTGGCTTGTTTGCAGGCTTCGATGATCTCGTCGTCAGAGGGAACGCCTTCTTCGATGCCAAGAGAGATATTGTCCCTGATAGAGCCCTGATACAAGACTGGCTCTTGCTGAACGAGGGCAATGTCCCTTCTGTGTAGTCGTCTGTCCTTCATCTTGATATCCTCCCCATCCGCAAGTAACATACCCGAAGTTGGGTCATAGAAACGCTCGAGAAGCGCTATCATAGTTGATTTACCGCAACCTGATGCACCAACCAGCGCGACCATCTTTCCTGACTCAATGCTGATATCGACCCCTTTGAGAACCTGCAACTTGGGTCGACGGGGGTACGCGAAGGTGATCTCCTCACAAGACACATCAATACCCTTCTCAGACGACTTCTCACTTCCTGAAGCCCCCGGTCCATTGTCTGCACTATCGTGTAGGGCCTTTTGACGACGCTGCTGGAAGATGTAGTTGATGGCAGTTCGTGCTTTGGTGATGCTCGTGGTGTACTGGAAGAGCATGGCTGATGTTTCTCCCGAGAAGACGACGGCGATGAAGATGATGTAGAACTGATCTGTGGTATACTCGCCGAAAGAAACAAGACGACCACCGTACCTGTTACTTGTTAGTGTCGTCTTTATGCTGCATGAACGAGACTGAACTTACCAGAAACCCAGGGCCATGGCGAGGAAAGACGCCGACTGACTGAAAGAGTAGAACAGCATCTTCCAACCTAGTCCAGCAATTGCCTCCTTAGCAAGTCCTTCAAGGGCACTGCTGTATCTCTCGATGACAGCCCGTTCCAGAGCCAGTGAAGACACAGTTCTGATACCCAACACAGCTTCAGAGGCCAAGCTGCTGCTCTTCGCGAACCGCCCAGCAGTATCATCGTCAAACTTGTACTCAAGACGGATTCGGACATATCCTGAGCCAACAAGGACCGGTAGAGCACAAAGTGTCAGAACAAGACCCAATTTCCAACCGTAAGCGATGGCGAGGACGGAACTCGATAGAACAGTGACGATGTTGATCATGATGAGGGACAGGTTCATAGATAGAAGTTCCTGAAGACTCGTAGGCTCGGCAGCCAGTCGTGAAACAAGAGCACCAGTTCCACGGTTGGGATCGTCGAAGAAGACCATGTCTTGTCGAAGGGTGTTGTCGAACAGTTCGCCACGATATACAGTCATAACATGCTGAAAAGTGTTAGTCTTGATCATCTCATGGCATGGATAAAAGAGACACTTACCTGGCCGATCTCGTTGCAAACCCAGCCAGCGACGGCATAGATGACAAAGTTGGCAAGGGCAACAACGAAGAACATCAGGGAGAAGAAGTTTGCTTCGCTGACATCGATGGTCTCGAAAGCCTTCATTGTTTTGGAGAAGAGGATGGCGAGTGCTGGGTATGTGCCACCTATACTTTGTCAGTGTCTGCCTTTCCTAGTAGCTTATGATAGCACTTACCTCCCAATAATGAGATGATGACCAGAATGAACCCAGAGAACCACAGCGACCGTTGCTCTTTGATAACAAGCCAAAGGCCCTTCAGAAGCCCATAGTTGATTCCATCGTCCTGCGAGATATCGGCTGTAGCATGCTGAGAAGCACGAGATAGAACGGGATCGAGACCAGCAACTGGCTCCTCCTTATCCGTCTCACTATCCTCATCGTCTGATGAAGCACTTCCCTTTCCAAGATCCTGCAAGCGAACAAGACGCGAGTATGTACCACCTCTCTCAATCAATGAATCGTGAGAACCTTGTTCGATAGTTTCACCCTTGGCCATGACAATGATGTTATCGGCATCTCGAATCGTAGAGAGTCTGTGAGCGATGACGATCATGGTTCGACCCTTGGCAACGTTGTTGAGAGCTTGCTGCACGATCTTTTCGGCGTTGGGGTCGAGGGCGCTGGTAGCTTCGTCGAGCATGAGGACTTTGGGGTTGGAGATGATGCTGCGAGCAATGACCACTCGCTGCTTCTGTCCACCGGATAAAGAGGCGCCTCGCTCGCCGATCCAAGTATCGTATCCCTGAAAAAGGGTTTAGTCAAAAAAACCTATGAGATAAGGAGAGACTTACGTTTGGCAATGTTTCGATGAAGTCATGGGCATAAGCCGATTTACAGGCATCGACAACCATGCGTTTCTTTTCTTCTTCTGAAAGGTCCACCATGGGGGTGCCGGTGAGGCCGTCGACAACGTTTTGATAGATAGTGCCGCTGAATAGAGTCGGTTCCTGGTAAGGAGTCAGCACCAGTTTGGCCTACAGTGTGTATCGATCCCTGTACATACCTGCTGAACCATTCTAATATTTGTTCGCAGCCATTGCAAGTTCAAGCTCTCAACAGGACGTCCATCCAGCGTGATAGAACCAGCGCTCGGCATATACCATCGCTCCAAAAGACCAAAGATAGTACTCTTTCCTGATCCGCTGGCTCCAACCAGAGCAGTTGTTTGATCTGCAGGAATATCGAGGTTGAGTGAGTGAAGAATTTCGACATTAGCTCGTGATGGGTAAGCAAAGCGAACGCCACGGAACCGTATATCGCCCTTGAAGTCCGGGATTTTGTCTCCTTCCTGTGATAAAGCGTCGATTTCAGACTTGCGATCGATCATCTCGAACATCTCTTGCGCAGCTGCAGTAGCCTTTGAGATGGCGATTGTCTGGGGCGCGATTTGGGTGAGAGCCGTAGCAGCAACAAGAACTGCAAAGATGACACTATGAACCATGTTAGCAAAACATCTAGCTCTGAGGAGAAAAGAAACTCACGTAACAACTGTACCGGGCTGAGTGATCTCACCCTCAGAGTACATCCTCATACCCTGCCAAAAGGCCAATCCATAACCCGCAAAGATACAAAAGAACTCCGTTGGGAACAGAATCATGTAAACCCAGGACTTCTTATGACCAATTCTCCTCGCCTCCTCAAGCGTATTCGTAAATCTCTTAGACAACTTGGGAAACGCCCAGAAAGCATGTGCAGTTCGAATAGTCGAGAAAGCCTCCTCGGCCAAAGAACTCGATCGCGAGTAGACGTCAAACATGGCATATTCATAGCCAGTATCGATAGCGACGCAGATAATCGTTACAACGAGGTTGACGGGGATGATGGCAAGGACAATGAGTGTCAATTTCCATTGCACGGCGAAAGCGACGACAAAGGCTGAGACAAAGGTTGATAGAGCCGCGATGGTGATGCCGAACTTCTCCGAGATTCCTTGGTTAATGAGATTTCCATTTGTTGTGATTTGCCCAGGAATTGATGAGGACGGAGAGTCGAAGAAGGCGACTTCCTGGCGAAGGGTGCTTCGTACAAAGTCGACGCGCAGTGCTTTTGTGGTGTTGATAGCAGCAATAGAGACAAGAATCTACCCCTTTTAGCATCATCTCTGTATAGACTTCCTGTGTATAAGTGACTTACCGTCCAAAGATATGTCAAAGCAAACTTTGCGATAAAGAGATAAATAAAGTACAAGCTATCAATGGTCAACTTGTGAATGCAAACAATGGCTAGCAAACAATACCTGTACTTGCTGACTTCGCTTCGATATCCAGCGGGCGATAACACTCCAGTTGCAAAATCAGTGAAAACGTTGATGAACTTTCCAAAAACAAGATCCATCAGGGGTAATATCGTTCCAGCGGCGATCATAGCCACGAATGCGATGCTGTTGAGGATCCATCCTAAGCGATCGTTGTAGGTAAAGACGCGCTGCGAATACTGTTAGTACACCCTCACAGCTGTCGCGAGTGCGATGCATACCAGGTAGTACTTGAAGCTCGTATCCTTCTTTTCTTCTTTTGTGTCACCCTTTTCGTCTCCGTTGTGTTCAATAGTAACCGCCATGTCCTGATCATTTGATACACCAGAACCTGACTGTGAACCGCCAGGCGTATCTTTTTCTTTAGTTTCAGTCATATTGACCTTAGAGGTGCTATTTGTTGATGGCCAGACATGAATGAGTTGCAGATGAAGGTCGTTTTAAACAATGATGCTCGCTCTTGGCGTTGACGTCTAGACGCAACCCGCAAACCCCGGGGTGATTACGGACTGACCAATTAGCTTATACAGCCACACGATCGACGGGGCTTGACATGTAAGACCTAGTTTTGGAAGGTGTCCTAGAATGGCTCATTACCCGGGGTAATTATTGAGCCGCCTGCTTAATCTTGACAACCCGAGAGTCCTTTTCTAGATTTCGTATTCCTCGTTTAAAGGACCAAGCCTGTATACCAAGTCCTACATGAAACTCACTGAAAAGTAGCTTAAACGTTGAATTAAACGTTGATTAAGCTATCGAAGACTAAAGAGAGTATCAATGCTACAATTTTCTCTAGTCAGTTAATCAATTCTCATCCCTGTTTCTCCAACTGTGCCTTGATAAGGTCAATGTCTTATTAAAGTGACAGCCACACTCAATGCTGACCAGATCCGGGACGCCACATGCTACTCTCATTGTGCAAGCCACAGTCCGGCGCCCTCAACTGCCGCCAATCGGTCCCCGCGGCTCCCGCTTCCTCTCCTTCACCCTTCACATCCGCGATACTGACCGAAATACGTCGTCATCTTATCTGAGAGCCTAATCGCTTTCACCGATTAGCAGAGCAAAAACTTATTACTTTATTGATCTTCAGCTTACTGCTGCAGCCTCAATTCCTTGGCTGCAAGTGAATACCCAAAAGGAGGTTGCCGCATCGCATATCTCGACTATTAAGAACTCGATATGGATCCCGGGCACGCAAATAACGGACCCGCGGCTTCCGATGACTCTGCTCGGAGAGCGGTAAGTACCAGATTTTCGATTTAGCCAATTCCAGTGTTGGCATTATTCAGAATATGGACTCCCCGACCTGCGTGCGTATCGCTTACACGGCAACCCTAAAGCGATCAATCGCGAAACTGGTGTGCCGTGCCAGTATAGCCTTGTTAGCTGCATCGGCCCGCTGCGAGTTTCACCCATCAACTATATCTTGTGTTGTGTAACAATCCCTTTGCATATCAGGGCTGACAAGAACTCTTGTGAACACAGTGTGATCAGTGTCGTACGAGAAAGGTGAGCATCACCCATGAATGCCTTCAGAAACACGCCATAGTCAGGACGTTTCTGTAAACAAAGGCTGTCCAACATAGATGGTATTAATAACACCTGCATGATATAGATCCGATGCGATAAAGACTGGCCATGCTCTAACTGTCGTACTGCCAAGCGATCTTGTACATCCACAGGCGTTGGCCAGAGACCCAAAGAGCCCCGGCAGCGAGTTCTCATCTCGTCCCAATAGTTCGTGACCCCATACCATCTTTTACCCCAGACGCTGTATCTGCACATGGTGCCGCTTTGTCCCCTCCAAGCAGCTTTGCCGATAGCCGTTCGCCAGCCAGATAAGGCAGCTCATCCACTAACCACTGGCATGCGTGCCTCGTAGTGAACGAAAGATCGACCAGATTGAGGTCCGCTTAGGCAATATAGAAAGCCTCCTCCGGGATCTCTCCCAACGTCCCGTCTCCACTCCAGGAAGTAACATTCAGTTTCCTGTCACCCCTGCAGCCTTACCAGGTCTCGATCCAGCCTCTGCATCTACAGCGGCTTTTGACAGTTCCGATGACGAGTCTGTTCTGGGTGGTGATTCGGTCATTGCCCAGCAAACCACGTTTGCTAGCGACCTTCTCGAGCATGCCGTGGAGCGCACCTCGTTAAACGATGTCAGTCCCAAGATGTGGGAAGCTCTCGCAAACTTGAGACAGTTGGCCGAGCTTCAGAGTCGGCAGTCCATCAGCCATGGTCCCCGTTTTCCACTCCAGCAGCCCATCCCAAAGGGAGGCTTGGGTCAACTGCCAATGCCTCCTATGGATATTGTAGTGAACTTGCTTAAGAGAGTTAGAGGTAGCAGTGACAACAACAACTTTGCAACCATTCGCTGACTTTTGTCTAGCTTCTCCGCCAGGTCTCTTTACGTTTGTCTGCTACTTCATTGGAATAAATGACTTCTCCAACCTTTGTCGAATGGTCTACTTTCCCACAGACGACTTTAGTGATTCCACCTTCATCATTGTCAACGTTGGTCTCTATTACTTGTTTCTTGAACAGCACCACTTGACCGTTGACAACAAGCCTCTGAAGGATGAGTTTGCATCACACCTTTACACAAGTCGCATCAACCTGGAAACAGCGCTGGCAAATATGTCTCTCTTCATGTCGACCAAGATAGAAACAGTCCAGGCTCTCCTCATGGGTGTAAGCACAAGTCAGTCTGGTGTAACAAGTGCTGGGCACTAACAAAGGCATTAGACATTATACACCATCGACGTCTGCAGACCATCTGTGGCTTGGCATCTCAACTGTGCCGCGGCCCAGATTTGCCAGACTGCTGGTTTCCATCGGAGGGATCTCTCAACGCGTAACCCCGAGGAAGCTGACATCAAGGCGATCCTTTTCTGGTACACGTATACCACGGACAAAGCACTAGCACTTCGACTAGGCCGTGCCCCTGCCATCCAGGATTGGGAGATCACCATTCCACGTACTTTCAGCTTCGATGGCATCTTGAGTCTTGAAACCAAAGCTGTTGCGGGTACGTGGCTTAACGCTGCAACGTTGCAGGGCCAAGTGTATGAGCAACTGTAAGTGTTATTATCTGCATCCATATTCCCAAGTCCTCGCCGCTAATGAAGCCAGGTTTTGTCCGGCAGCATTAAGCCAACCACCAGCTGTACTCGCTGAACGAGCACGTCTGCTGGCAGCTGAGTGCCGTCGTGTCGAGGCGGAGTCGTATCAGAGCCGCGAAATGGCTATCTCATCGCTTGAGAAAATCGGAGCTTCCCCTCTCGTCGATGTCCACCTGAAGGGTGACGAAGTGCAGTTGCTGTCAACCATGACTCTCATTTACAGAGCAGTTCCAGCTCCTGAAGGGTCACCCACTAGGTTCTGTCAAGAGTGTATAGACACTGCACGAAAGGCTTGTCACGCACATTTCGCATGCATGGATTTGGTGCGGAAAGACCCCCACGCGAGAGCCATATATGTCCATTGGTAGGTTCATCGTTGCAGTTCCTTGGATTTCGAGTAAATCTAACAAGGTTTTAGGAACCTGGTGCTGACTCCATTTGCCCCCTTCTTTGTGCTGTTCGGATATGTCATCGAGACATCATCGCAAGAAGATCTCCAACTGTTGAAGCAGTTCAGTGCGTCCATTGAAGAGACCAGTGATGCGTCAGAGACCATGCAAAAACTGTCGCGACTATGCAATATCATGAGCAACGTCGCGGCCCTGTACGTCGAAGCCAAGTCTCAACAAGTGGAAGATCAGGCAATGGTGCCCATCGGTGACGAGTTCGACGTGTATTTGAGCCAGCTCGGACTCATGCCTGTCATGGACTCGACCATGGGCAACGCAGGTGATCCCAATGCAGAGTTTGGTGAGAACACTCAAGTCAACCAAATGGCGGACTGGATGTCTGGAAGTCGAAATTTGCTGGGATTGTTGGAACAGGATATATCGCAGATCGGAGGTGTACAGTGGCCACCCATGTAGAATAGAATGATAGAAAGGACCCGGATAGATACTCGCAAATAGAATTTTAGTTTGATGTTCGTAACTTAAGATGAGTCCGATGCAGCTCAGTCGGTGGGAAACCGAGGGTCATAGACTTCATAGCCCTCGTCTTCAGTATCGCTTTCCGGTGACAAGTTCTTTTGAAGGCCAGGATTGACTGGTGCCGGCTCAAGTGTACTAGCCGGCTTGGGCTTCTCAGTCGTCGTCGTTGCTGCTGGTCCGCCGCTCTCAACTTTGGTGAAAGCGCTCTTGAAGCCACTCTTCTTGAAGCCGCCTTTCTTGAAACCTCCTCCACCAGTGGCAGTCTCTTGGCCAGGGAGCTTGATGCTGATGAGACCGTCGGCTTTGGCCTCGGCCTTGCGCGCACGAGAGCCAGCGGTGGGGTCACGAACCATGGCCTTCATGTCTTTGAGGCGCTGCTTGTGACTGTGATCATAACTGCTGAGATGAGCTTCATAGTCATTCATTCGCGAGTACCCTTTGGAGCAGAGCTGGCAGTAGAAAGACTTTTGAGCTTCACGTGCAGATGCAGTCTGCGCCGAGGGAAGAGTTAGGTGTCGCTGGTGACGCGTTAGTCAAGGAATGAGCACCAGAGTATTCGGATCTTACCGGAGGCATGTTGTCTCTGGTATTTTCCTTCAGACAGTTATGAAGTTGGCCTTTCTCAGTGTTGTTTTGATGAAAATGTCGTGGTTCTTGTAAGCTGCTGATGTTTGATGAAGGAAGTTTGAGCAGTGACCACGATCCAGATAAGAGTGCGGGCACTAGCTCTGTTTGGCTAGAGCTCAGAGCCTCGACCCTCCACCAATCAAAACGTGGCATGTCTTGCTGACCGGGCTCCCAGGACCTCAACGTCATTTTCCCAGGGGGTCTTCGACAGAGCTTCCAGAACCACCTGCCCCAGAGTCTTGAAAGCTTTCCCCGTTAATCCAGCACGTTGAGGCGCTAATCCCAACTGGAAAAACTTCCAGTCCCTTCCCTGTCACGAGCCCGCGCCGTCATCTCTTGTTTTCTATTCCCCGCCAGATATTATTTCTTGTCCTTTGTTTTCTTTTCACACAGATTTAAACGCGCTGGGCGTGGTATCACTATGGATTTCGACCAATCCCCAGATCGTCGAGCCTCACAGGCGAGCTTCTTGTCTTTACAGCAGCTTGACCCTTCCCCGATCGATTCTCCGCCAGCAGATCCGTCTATTGACCGCCGGGACCTCGGGCCACCGCCGAGAGGAAGTGATGATGGATATGAGATGGTTGATGCCGATGATATGGAGAGGAGCTCAGCAACTATCAAGGCTCCTTCGACCGGTGCTCCCGGGCTGAGCGCAAGTACAAACCTCACAAATGGAGCTACAGGTCCAGGCCCAATCTTCTATCGTGAGTGTCCAATGCCTTCACATGCTTGAACGGCACAGCATACTCACACTTCGTCAGTTATGCGAATCCAGAAGTTCTCGAGCTATGCAATGGGTCTATTCACCTCCCTCCATCTCGCCAACGTATCCCTCATCCCCGCTGTTACTCGCTCTGTCCCTGGCTCCGAGACGTACCTCCTCATGACTCGTGAAATTTACCAAACCTCCCTTACGGAACCAATTCTCGTTGCTCTCCCTGTTATTGCCCATGTTGGATCAGGAATTGCTCTTCGACTATTGCGGAGGTCACAGAACATGAAACGCTATGGTGCTGCGACCCCGGGAATGTACGCTCTCCATCGTTCAAGGACGGAACTCGAGGATCAAAGAAGGGCTTCTTCGCCGTGGCCAGCACTGAGCTATATCTCGATATCCGGTTATGCTTTTTCCGTCTTCTTCGCCGCCCATGTCTTTGTCAATCGTGTTCTGCCCTTACAAGTTGAGGGCGACAGCTCTAACATTGGTCTCGCCTACGTCGCACATGCTTTTGCTCGACATCCTATTACTTCTTGGGTTTCTTATGTTGGCCTTCTTGCCGCCGGTTGCGGCCATATGATCTGGGGTCAGGCCAAGTGGTTTGGTCTATCACCTACGACGAAATACATCTGGGGTACAAGTACCGCACCCGCGGAGAAGAGGGCGAGGAAGCAAAGGAGAAGGAGATGGGCCGCTCTCCACGGAGCATCGGTGGCTTTTGCTGCTCTCTGGGCAGTTGGAGGCCTAGGAGTTGTTGCGAGGGGAGGCCTCATGGAAGGCTGGATTGGAAAGGTGTATGATGATATCTTCGCAGCGGTGGGATTGTGAGGGCATGGTTGATCTAGCATCATTGGAGTTTGGGTTCGTTTACATGGGAGATGTTGAACTCCTCTCTTTACACGCATTATGGAAATACCCTACGCCTATACGTTGGAGAATGAAGTAGATAAGCATGAATGCATCAGGAAACTAAGACAATATGATAATCCACTAGAATGTTAGTGTGCACGATGTGAAGTTGGTGTTTTTCACATGAACGAATGTTCCACCATTGTGCGATGGCTTTTGCTTGCGAGCCATGAAGTACTTAGCTGCGTATTTGAATCATCATGAGCAATATCGCGTAAACCACTGATGCATCCGTATCGCAATTATTTGTTGATAAGTGAAGCAATTTGGTGCCAAAACTCCGAAATCTCTTGAACACCGACTTGTACAGGGTAAGCTCACCACCACCAAGCTCCGGTCAACCGCCGACCGTTGATCGCCACCGACATTTTATTTCTTTATCCTACCAACCCCAGAGCTTCATCAACACCTCTCTGATCCCCCATTTCCCTTCTCCTCTAGGTTCTATATAGCTGATCGCAGGCTCGTCCTGCGCAGCGCCCAACCTCCGCACAAAATGCCGAAACGTAAGCTCCCTCCGACCGAACAACCCTCCGAACCACAAGAAGTATCTCAACCTCGGCCTTCAAAACGTTTACGTTTCGCAAACTCGGCATATAACCCACCTTCTCGCGATATTCTCACCACAATATCCTCCGAACTTCTACTGCGGATATTATCCTTCCTCTCGTCGTCAGAGCTACTGGACATTTCCCCCACTTCACAGCGCCTTTACCGCCTTGCTTCGGATCCTCATCTCTGGCGCGAACATTACTACGAGCGCTTTGTTCTACCGCGCGCTTTACGTATACCTGGGTTTAGACTCGGTGGAGCTGGTGGCACGAAGTTACAGTATTCCTCCCGACGAGCTGTGTGGGCAGATGGACGGAAAGGAAGAGCGCCGGAGGATGAGGTTCCAAGAGAGAGTAGTAAGACTGAGAGTGTCGACTGGAAGAGACAGTATAAGCTACGTCACAACTGGGCCAGAGGAAAATGCGCCGTGGAGGAGGTCAGCGTGCGAGATGCGCCAGATGAGAATGGGGGACAGAAGAGGACGTTGGTCAAGGTCGTGGAGGGTATTGCAATAACGGCCGATTCGGAATATGGACTGCGCGCATGGGATCTTCGAACACGACGACCGATTGCGCAGCTCGGCCTGCACGAGGAAAACGAAAGCGATGACAATGCGCCGACATCACTTGCGGTGGACGAAAGCGGTTCTGGAACAGTGGTGGATATAGTGGTGGGATTCGCAGATGGCGGTTTCGGGCTTTGGCGGTTGAACCTCGAGCGACAAGAACTATTACGGAGATACCGGCACGAGAAAAGCTGCAATGGAGAACTTGTCGCTATCGCTTGCGGATATCCTTATGTCCTAACAGCGACGACAGCGGGCTTGATATCGCTATACACATTCAACCGCCCAGATGACAAACCTTCTAACGACGCTGCGAATAGTGTCAATGATGAACCGCCATTGAAAGCGACAGAGAAACCACCGAGCACGGTTCTGCCGCCTCCATATCTCCTCACATCGCTCAAGTCGCACACCACCCACTTACCACTCGCTCTATCGATACGGCGCATGTCGTCCTCTGTGAGCGCCTCCATCGCCTACACCTTCTCCGTCCGAGACGGCTGGTGTATCGGCATTCAGGACTTACTGATAACGCCGCCATCTGATGGCTCCGGCGTCGACACACTATCCTCCCGCCTCGCATCGACGCTCCCCATCACAGCCTCAGGCGGCGCTGACTCTCCTCTAACCAATGAGTCACGACCAGAGCTTACGACCCTTTGCTACAGCCACCCGTATCTCCTCGCCACACTACCCGACAACACTCTCGTCCTATACCTCTGCACCTCGACCGCGATATCCCTATCACTATCCCTGGGCATCCGCCTCTGGGGCCACACATCAGGCATCTCAGATGCGGAGATCACACCGCGGGGTAAGGCCGTGAGCATTAGCACGCGAGGAGACGAGATCCGCGTATGGGAGCTGGAGGGCCGCGGCGGAGGCAGCAGCATCGAGGTACGACCTACGAGCAGGCAGCCAGCCGATGACGCGGACAGCCCTACATCCGCGCCAAGGGCTGAGTGGGAGGACCGCAGGAATTGGGTTGGCTTCGATGATGAGATGGTCATCGTTCTCAAAGAGGCGCGAGACGGTCGCGAGAGCCTGATGGTCTACGACTTTACATGATCCCAATTGCCTCACGCCGTCATATTAGACGTGCCAGAAGAAGCACCACCATGACCACATTGGGACACGCGCAACAGGAGACTGTGTCGCGACTTTGCCAGCAATGGCAATCGCCGCCGCCTCCAGTTCACGCCACGCTCCAGGGGAGAAATTCCGGCCACCCGTGGCATGCTGAGAATCGCGGCGCTCTGGAACTTACACCATCCGGGAGCGTGGGAAGAGCCTCTCTGATAGTACTGAAGCCACCACCACAAACCAATCGTCTTCAGTTGAGGCTCCTGGGGTCAAGGCAGCACGGCTGAAAAGTCCTAGCAAGCCTGGCTGACGCAAAAGCAAATACAAATTTGGCAGACACCTCGATACGAGCAAGGGCACAAGATATAATCGATTGGTCATGAGATGGCAATTGCGACAATTGGTAGCCTATTGCCCGGGCGTTACGATTAAACTCTGAGCGGCATTCCCGCCGACTGATGGTCCTTCGCGGCGACTGGTTAGCACGACGCCTCAAGGCTGAAGCAGCGCCAGGCACGTCCCTTTGCTAGCTGGAGTTTATTGAAAGGCATGAAAAGCCAATTAAAAAAAAACAAGGCAACTCCAAAACCAAGGTCGTACAAAAGCCGCATCCGCATCTCGTTCGTCAGGGGGTGGCTGTAAGAAGCCAAACTCTCTCCAGCGTAGCATCTTAACCTGAGGCCAGCTGGGATGACTTGTCAAAAAGCTTAGAATAGCGATTATCCCAATGCCGCAAATAGAAATCGTCCCTTGAAAGGGAAGATCTCTCAAAGGCCCCTCGTTTCTGAAACGACATCCATTGAGTTGAGTCAATAAAACGCCGGAAGTTTACTGGGAGAAGCCCCAGCTAAATTGGTGTTGCATGTCATGTCATGCATTATGTGGCTCCACGGCATGAAAAAAAACCAAGGTCGTACTGACAGCGCACCAGAGGAAACAAAGGAAGAGGCGAGAGACCTACGGAGCAGACAGTACCGGTAGCTATCAATTGCACCTTACCATTCCAAACGGTAGACGTGTTACACAGGACCATTGGTTCACTGCGCCCAAGCAGAAGCTGACACGCTGAGTTGCTGGATTGACCAAGGATGTTGCTTCTGCCAGCGTATCAGCTGCGCCAATTGCATCCCGCTCGAATTGACATGATAAAGCCTCAAATGCAGTGCTACTGTTTACCTGGCAGCCTCTTCTTTTCTTTTCCAGTCCTGAGCCCTTACTCCAGAATTAGTGTACGCCACACTGGCTGCCCGCATCTTCACCGTACATTTGCTCTCAATACTTAAGAGGCAAAAAATAGAAGACGATAGATGGCCAGAGGCGAATGCTCGGTCCCATTGGGTAGCATCAAAATTGTCCGTACGATATTAGTAGAAACTGCACGTTGCCGCTGTTCGTAACCGCGTAAAGTGATGCCCCCACCAGACGCGAGGGGTTCGACTTTCACATGGCAAAGATAGAGGGGGTCTTTGCTGTGTCTAGTCAAGTCTAGGAACCAGACCCAGAAGACGGGGAGGGATTTGAGGTACCTCAGTGGGGCCGTCCGTTATGGAGTTGAGTTGTCTTGTGGCTATGGATCATAGTGGAGATTCTTCTTTCCAGGCGGAGAAGTCGAGTGAAGGGAGGGAGTGTGATTATCATGGACTTTGATATGCGGAGCAGCGTAGTTGTTCAATGCCATTGAAGTCAACAGAGGCAATCATCAAGTGATCAGTATCTTGGCTGAAGTGATATCTGAACATGGAGCTATCAGAACCTTGTTTTTGACCGCCGAAATACTCAGATCCGAGGAAGACCTGAAGTGAATCGAATTGAATTTGACAAAACCACCCGTGCACGCGGCCCGAATCTGCCTTAGCCGCTCAACAAGGCGGGCGATATATCAACCGCCGCCTGAGATTGGCCGAACCGAGAGACGGCACGTTGGAAAAAAGGGAAACGGAGGGCCGAATTCGAGGGGCACAACGGACAGGACGGTGTAAGCAGACGGACTGCGGTTGGCGTCTAGAACTAAGACGGTGGATCAACATCTCTCACCGTTTCTTTGCGTTACAAATGCCGAAGGGAAAAAGAAAACAATGCTGCAAAGACGGGTCGCAGGTTCCATTGCTCGATTCAACCCATCTCAAGCAAGCCAAGAGGTGGAGGCCCGAAGCCGAGGCATGATATGCCGTCGCGTGGGTGTCAATCAAATTGGAGAGCCAGACAAGACAAGACAAGACACTTGATACTCTCTGTTTGGTGTTGACGCTGTAGGCGCCTGAATAAACAATTGTGAGCCCAATGCTGTGATATAGACACTCCAGTCATGGCAACCATTTCAAGAAAGTCGATAAATGAGGCATAATATCTCAATTGTTGATTAGAAGAAGTTGAGTCAATTTGACTTGACCCCTCTATCGCGGGGTCGTGCCGGGCATCAAAGAACCATGGAAGCGAACCAACAGTTCACTCGAAGCCAGCACTAGAGTGGAAGGGTCCCTCCACTAACACGCCCGTCAAAGACTGGCCCCTGTGACGAGCATTTGGATGACGTCTTTCGCCCAGCATTTGATGGATGCTCGAGGTGGTCTAGATCGCGTTGGATCCAAATGTCGTGAGCTTCAACTGCACGACTCGCCGATTTCCTTGGTTTGATGCATCCGTTGCTATCCCTTCTCTGTCACTTGAGAAGGGAGATGGGTAAAAGATGCCTCAATGTTGACCGCCCTTGCAGTCAATGAATGACATTGGTCTTCACCGTCGCACAGGCCAATGTCCTTGGCGCCTCCAACTATATTCCGTCGGTCACCAGCATTAGCTTCGTTTGTGGAGTTGATAGACAGTTAGACACTGAGACAGTGCTGATGACTTGCCGACGCGCGCAGCACGCTGAGCCCTTCATCAACTTCCCGAATTGATCCAGGATGTTGGGATAGACTACGCCGTTTCATTTCTCCGATCCTGCGATGTGATGTGGGTGCCAGAATTGCTTCTGCCCAAGATTCATGCGCTCGGACTCCCACGTCTCAAACTCACGCACAGAATCGCCCACTGTATTGTCTCAGACCAAAGCGGTCAAATGATATATGGTAGTAACGCGATATGGGACGGGTGACGCTTCACGGGACATGCCTCGTGAGCCTCTTGACTCCAGCCTCCGGACTCAGACGCACCCTCCCTTGAGCCTATGGTCCTCTCACATTCAAGAGCAGCCCTCATAGGTAAGCCTTCGGAGTGAGGGCGGCCACCACTACGCCGGATGTTGATCAGCCACTACCGATTGAGAAGACGGAATGGATGGGACGGAGGATACACGCGCCGAGCGGGCCGTTTCACAAACATCCATGCCATTAGAGATTGGAAGCGCGATAGGCCGTCGCCCCGACTCTGCTACCAGCCTTTACGAGCAGAAATGGAGGGCAGATGCCATCAACCATTGCAAATCTCATCAACTTCCTTGCTTGTTGCAACGCATGTCTTGCATTTGGACCCTACACAGTTGAATCAGTGATAAACCAGCGTTTCGTTAACAGAAGAACTGATAAGCCAATCCCACCATGACTTGTCATGTGCTCCCACCACTTGCTCACCTGCCAGAGGACGCTGGTCGACGATCCAAGGCCAATGGTGGGGAACCTAGTTAGTTCATCTGTAACACCCGCTGCCAAACTCTGGGGAATATCCATTTGCTATCGATAAATATTCGGAAGCGGGTATCAATTCAATTGTCCTTCCCACCTTGTCTCTGATTGAGAATCGCAGCAAAGGGAGGTGTGCAGCTTGTTTATTTCGATAGCAGCAACATGAAGCCAAGGTTGCCGACCATCAAGCTAGATAGATACGCATGTCCCACCTCGGTATTGATGGTTCGCTTGGTTGCTTGGCTCGGACTTCCTCCGTCGTTGCTGATGTGATAAAATTCCAAATTGAATCTCATTGCTTTGCGAATCCCTCATGGTGATGGCTTTGCCTCAGGCTTACACCTTAAAGTGGCAATGCAGTTTCGTTCCGGCTTTACTGTAGCAATTGTGCAGCTCCGTTCGGGGTTTGTCAGGATTTACTCCGTCAAATAGGCCACGCAATTGCGCTGTCTTGGGGCAATGCTGATATGAAGCGTCCGGCTCACCCGATGGAGCACTCTGTCTCAAGCTGACCAAAGTGTTGGATAATTTTGCCCATAACCTTGACTGTGTCATTGTTGGGAATTACCACGACAAGCCAACATACCTCATGCTACTTTCGGGTCCAACAAAGAAAACCATCTCATGTCATCGAGAGACGATGACGTTGATATTTGACCATGATGCAAATGCCATCATGCCATCATCTCCTTCAACAACAACTCAATCCATCGTTGAACGCTAAAGTTCACCAATCAGCAATCCTTCCAGAAGCCCAAACGTACCAGGGCCTCAAACTCCTTATCGATAATTCACTCCCCCCTGGTCTAGGCCGCCCCCAAACCAGCCAAGACACTAGACCAGACATGACTTGGTGCCAGGTCTCGTTTTGGTCTCTCTCGTCTGCTCCTACAGGAGACCAAGCCTGTTTCTCCATATCCTGTGACTCACATCAATTCGGTGTGGGGGGAAAAGAAGCCCAAAGCCTGTGGGAGCAACATAGCGATATGTACAGTATGTACACAATTGTGTGAATAATGAACATTGAACTGGCACTCAATTGTAAAATTGGGGAACAATTGTTGGTAGAGCGATGGTCGTCTGATACTGCCATCTGCCGAGAGCCACGTAATTTGAGGACGACAGTTGCGAGGCCGCCAGTTGGTATCTCGGCTAACACCCAACGACTTACACAGAATAGTCCTTGATGACAGCGCGAGAGGGAGCTGTGCTGCATGTACAATTATGAAGTCGATGACTGTTCACAGATCGCCAACTCAATGGCTGACTTTATTGATGTTCCTTTCTTGCGCTGCAATGTCTACGCTGGTCAGAGACTAATTGAATCGTGACCCTACATCAAGTAAAAGGGAATGAACCCTCGATCAGAAAAGTTACGACTCTGTTGCATGGTGGGGTTGATCGCTGGGTTTCCCCAACAAGCAATCTTCAGGGCTATTCAGGGCCGAAACAAAGGGTCTGGAAATGGGAATCCGGATGCGGGAACGATTGACGAGATGCAGAGTGCCAAGCGGGTAGCCACGAGAGTTGAAGACGACAGATGCTCCGCGAATGCGCGAATTGACCGGTTGTATCCTTGGATATCCACAAACGTGAATGCAGTCGCCGTAGATTGCGAGGTATGCATATCAGCTCAGAGTGCCACCTCGCTCGCGAGCATGAGCCTGTTACGGTAGGCAGTGGGCTGAGGCAGAGTGATCTTGAGTAGGTAGGCAAGACTGGTCAAGCCAGACCGCAAGTCAAGACAACCGGTGAGATAACAGCTTGTTAGTCTCGCACTCACAAACAAGAAAGTCACAGCAAGCGGAACCAGAGTCGATGCTCAACGTTCTTGGTTAATTGGGCGTCGGGCAGCGAGCAAGAGGAGGGCTGATTCAAGACATGAACCGTCACACGCAGAAACCACACGCCCCTCAGATATTAGGCGTTATGTAGGCACTGTCGCGATCGTGATTTGCCTAGGGAGGTGAGTGAAAGGAAGGAGGGGTGATAAATGAGTTTGGCTCTTGGATGAGAAGCAGAAGTGCAAATGAGTACATTGCAGTGTAGTGGCTACTACCTGGGTGAGGAACGTGGGAGTTAGCGTACCCAGTTGAAGATAATCAGTGATGGTGTCGCGAAGGCCCTCGTGTGATCTTCCAAAGTTCAGATGGCATCATGATCGACCAGATATGAGCATATGTTAATGTAGGGACGCGCATCTGCCGCCAAACAAACGCAGGCCAGATCTCTTGCCCGGAGACTTCTGTAGGAACAGGAAGATGGACCATACCAAGCTGGGAACTAGCTGGGTTTGGGAGATTTGGCGCCGGGCCTCGTGGACGTTACCAGTTCTGACCAAGCCACTCAGCGCCTCTCAGGACATGATGGATGGCTAAATAGGTTAGGTGGGATGTGTACCTACATGCTGCATACCAAGGCCGTAATGGTGCACGAACTCCTGGCATCACCAATTCCTTGGCCAACAGAGACAGCCAGCCAGCCTCATCCATTGAGACTGCCGTTTGGGCTGAGGCAGGCAGAGCGAGAACGCAGCGTCTCGCTTGCGTAAACCGTGAGAAAACACAGTGGGATATCGCATCTTGGTGGCCGCTAATGATGGGATGCTCGTTCTGTGGAGACGCTGGACTGATTACCGTATCCGTGAAACTGGGGGAACTGGCGTCTGTTCCCGTTGCTCGCCTCGCGCACCCGCGACAAGGCTCTTTGACATTGCTCCGTTATTGAATCTCGGCTGGGTAGGGGCTGTTGGTTGAAGCAAATTGTCTATTCAGCGTTCAAATTAAGTTGAGATTCTCTCTGATCTCCTACCTCATTCTTCTCCACTCACCCTATTCGAGAATTCCTTGGTGGAATTGACTTCATTGACCAATTCCTGGCTGGAGCTCTCGGATCGGATGTCAGTCAGGGAAATGACCGAGTCAAAATGGCGAATCGCCAATTGCACTGACTAGGTAACGATGGATTGGACAATGGCATGAGTCAGAGGGCAAAAGCAGGGCAGAAAAGTGACGGGATGAGAAGTGGTTTGTAATTGAGAGCTTACTCGAACTAACACAAGAAAAGGCAAGGCACTCAGTCTGATGGAAGGGAAGGAGGAACACATCGCTCACTCACACCTTCCCCCCGTGATTCAGTTTCCAGACGGTGGGATATTATGGGAAGGGTCAGCCCGTCACCGTCCGTCAGTCACCACTAGCGGTATTCAAGTTCCAGTGAGGTCACCCCTCCCGTGGCTAATGAGAGGTCCCTGATGACCTGTGCACGATCACGCATGACTGTTGAGTACGGAGGACAAGATGGGTGATTGGGACTGCGACATTGGAGGAAAAGTAACTGTGTGATTCAATTGATACGAGCAGCTGTCAATTGACAAACCTTTTGTGAATTGAAGCATCTCCAACCCGTTCAGGCTCTCTCAATGGGTCATGCTTCCAGAATGATGCCCCTCGCAAAGTCTATCTGAGCTCGGATCCACTTCTATTCATGGATCCTAAATGTTTGGCATCTGAGGTGAGTCTGAGTGAGCTGCAGCTAAAACCCGCGCAAGTGCAGCCTGCAGGCAGTCACTCACCGGGGGGCCTTGAAAGGGAAAAGCAATGAGCCTCTAGCCATTCAAGCTGTTGCAAGGGGAAAAGGAGGGCTGAAAGAAGGCTGCTGAATTGAGATATCCATTGGACGATACAAAGCGTCCATTTTCAGGCATTGATGAAAGCCATTGAAACAAAGGGGACTGGCCATGCATGAATGGGGTGTGCCTTTAGCCAGTTTTGCATCGTTGCATTGTCACATTTGATTGTGGCTGCGTCAAAATTCACGTTTGTTTTACTAATCACACCCCAAAGTGATCTTCCACTCCCTGTCCTGACACCCTCCTTCCCGTCCATCTCCCTCCGTTTCCACAGGACGCCACCCGACTGTGTTAGGTGTGAGTGTGAGTGAGAGTGAGACTGTCAGTGAGTGAGTGAGTAGGAGCCATTGATTGCGAGCATCTGGGCGTATTGTGTTAGTAGCAATCCAATTCATATCAACCATGGCACGCGCCTTTCGAGTGCCATTCGCCTTCTTTCCTTCTTTCCTTCTTGTTTCCCTCTTCCTTCACTTCTACGACTCCTGCAACATCGCACGAGCTGGTAACTGGCTAACGGACCCTTTGCGCTCTGTTACCCACACTGCGACGTCTGAACCAGGCTCTAATACTCGTCTCTGAGCATCAATCCATCAATCAATCGACATCTCGTTCCACTGGCCCCCACTCGCGCCCACTCTCCTAAAGACTCTGAGTCTGAGCTGCTTGTTAATAAGCCAATCAACCGTTCAATCAAGTCCACCTAACCAGAGATACTACCTGTCAAGCGCACAGTCGTCACAGTGGTTCCTGCTCTTGCCTTCATCAGCGGGAAGGAACTTGACTTCCAATTCATTACGAGTGTGTAGCAATTCAATTGCGACCCAATCTATCCCCAATTGGACATCCATTGAAAGCACGGGAAAGAGTCCGTCATTGATGCTAGTGCTGGTTTGTTACCAAGCCGAGACAAAGGCGACTCCTTTCTTTGCTTTGCTTCCTCCATCTTGAACTCTTCTCCTCATGCTTAGCATTGCTGCGCGCACATAATTGAGCGGACTGCACCTGCTCTGTTGCAACTTAACGCAAGATATACTTTTATTATAAAAGTATCATTATACTCTGACTCCCTCTATTAACTTTTTGTTGCCTGGCGTGTGTCGTCGTTTTTGCATTTTGCATGCGCACACGCGCAAACTCTCGTCTCTCCTGTCTACATACATGTTCTGGGTTTGCTCAAGAGAGCATTCTACAATTGTTTTCCTCAAGCAAACCTCTTCAGGCCAGTTCACACACTTGCGAACTCACCCTGAAATACTGTATGTTTCTGCCCGCTGCGCCCCAGGCCATCCAGTGATCCCCGTCTTCAGCCATTGGCAACCTGGCAGGCATAGGCTGCTTTTGCTTCTCTGCCACATCATCAAGCTCTCGACCGACCCTCAAAAGTCGTCAGGTTGCGGCCAAACTAATTGCCCACTCGACTGGCTCGAGAGTCATTGCTTTCAAAAGTCATACGGTCTGGTACGGTGCCCGTCCCACAGATCGAACAACCCGCGGCCCTATTACTGTTTCTCGGAGCCTTCTGCCTTCCTTGGAATTCTCTGTTGAGGCCCCATTGCTTTGCACCTCGCACTCTATTCATTCACCCATATCGACAATCGCATGTCGACTTGCAACAATTGAATTGCACTGCACTTTTACAGTCATACGGTTGTCCCCCATTGAGTGTACCCCTGGACCCGCCTGTTGAGTGCCCAGACACTCCTATCACCCCATACCCATATCAGCATTGACAATTGTACCTACGTGCACTTACACAGTATTCTCATAAGAACTGCCCTTTCCACTTTCTCTTCCATCATCCTTCTCTTTTTTAAAGAAGGAATCATCTTTGACACTCTTCAATTCGTCTCGGAGGTAAACACAATTCGTCACTAAACGCCGAAGCAAACTCCGCTGCCTTGGGTCGACAGTCCTGCGCTACAACTCCTCACATCTTACTCACAAGCACCAAGGGACTGGGAGGGTCTCGTCAAGATCCCACACCCCCCCTCCTTATAACTCCGCCCTCCTCGCCCCCCCCTCCAGTTTCGCCGCCCTGTTGCTGCCTACTCTGGTCTAGGCGCCCATCCAGTCACTGACAGCGCACTTACATACACTTTTGGGTTGGGCATACGCAAACAAAGTCGACAAGACTCATTCGGGCTTATTCAGGCTTTTCGTCTGAGCCTATTAATTGAGAGCCCCTCGCCCTTTTAGATTGTTCTAAAAGGTCTCAACGGTTTCGCCACACTCCCTATTGTCCACGTCACAGCCATTGTGACTGACTGATTGCATCTCGTGGCTGACAAACCACTTTCGCTTTATCTGCGCCATGCAACCTTCTACCACTTTCGACGACAATACAATCTCGTCAGTCAAATTGCAGACTGAACGAACTTCGTCTCTCTCCTCTATTCAATCTCTTCCTTTTCACTACTCACCATCCGGCCCCTCAAACAGCACAAACAACACCACAACAATGGCGGCCAATTCTCCTCACAACGCGCAAGCGACCAGCGCAATGCCTCCTCCAGCCCATCCTGCCTCAACCCCTTCCAAGATGCATATCAACAGTCTGATGTCGCCTCCAGACCAGGCACACGATAGCTTCTATTACCACACCGGAAAGGTCGACGACTCCTCCAGCAAGAACGCTTCAGGAAAGCCTCCAATGTCTCCTCCCATCTCGCCTTGCAACAGACCGATGGCCACCACCGAGACACCAACAAACTCAATCCAGGACCCCGTCCTCTACCCATCCGATGAGGTGCCTTCCAGTCCGGCCCAGACTCCTCTATTTCCAACCCTTGAGGATCGTGACCATAGTCGAACGATTGAGGAACACATGCAAAAGAATATCAACGACAAGATTTTTGTTGAGGTGCAACCCCCGACACGCAACGACTATGAGCTTGTGGCGTCGTTTCAATCGCAACTCAACAAAAACTACGAACTTAACCCAAAGGCATGGATGCTGTCAGTGAATAAGCAGGCTCGTGACGACAATCGTCGCATCGCTCAAGCCAAAGCACGCGCTCGTCCCTTGGCAGCCAAGGCCGCAAAGATATCTCGGCCTCGCCCCGATAATCGTGTTCAGAAACCTACCCAGCGATTCATTCGCGCCCAACCTACCAATAGCCCTAAACGGCCAACGCCTCAACTCGGCGCCAATGGTACCGCTGAGCCGAAACCTCGCGCTCAAGGCCCAGACAAGGATTTTGAATCACTGCCGGACTTCTGTCCACCATTGAGCACGCTCCCCGACAGATCGACCATTCTCAAAGTTGATTGGAAGGGACAGCCACTCGACAACAGCAACGATCCTCATCGACATCTTCTTCATCCTGACGAATTAACGCTGGCAAGCAATCTGCGCCTTGACTGTGCGACGTACCTGGCCAGCAAGAGACGCATCTTCATTAGCAGACTTTCCTGTTATAAGCGAGTGAAAGACTTCCGCAAGACCGACGCCCAACAGGCTTGCAAGATTGATGTCAACAAGGCCTCCAAGTTGTGGACTGCCTTTGACAGAGCCGGCTGGTTTCACAAGGGATTCATGGAGCCATTTCAGAACACCAAGCTGAACTAGTGCCCTTCGCAAAGTTGGACACCTTCGAACCTCGATCGCCACGGCCTAGCTTGTCCTTTATTTGCAGCTTGTCTTCTGAGCAACGATGTTTGTGACGGGAGTTTCATTTCATTTCATTTTATCGTTCTCTGCTGAACCCATATGGTTGGATCAGTATACGAGAATCAATCGGAATCACGGCACATTTATTTTTTTCCTTTGGGCGATACACCATAGCATTAGGGACTCTTATCTTCATGATACCCGGAGTGCATATATACCTGACCCTGACCCCTTTGCGATCATGTCACACCACTCCACAGTTTTCTTTTATTTCATTTTCTATCACGGGTTCCGGTCTTGTCTTGTCCACCTCGCCCCTCTGAAGTCATGTCATCTTCGAGGTTGTCATGGGTGAGAGATTGTGGACAGCGAGGTACAGCATGGATGGATGTATGGCGTTTTTGTGTATGGCACCTCCCAGCAGACTGGGGAGAAGGGAGCCATTTTATTTGGATTACCAGGATGCAAGCGTTGTGCGTACATGTGATGGCTAGTCAAGGCCGTGGACTTGAACATCACTGGATGGTTTTAGGTCAACAAGTATCGACTGTATGCGGGCGCGCGCCTAGGCAGAGGCACAACCTTCTGACCATGAGCAGAGATTGGATTACGGTTACCCTTTCGAAGGGACTAGCTAGACAATAGCGAAATGAATTGTTTACTCAAGCATTTATTGCATTGCCATGTTTGTGAGCGAGATGGATGAGAATGCTGACCCGATTGATCCAACGACAAAAAAAGTCTGCTTGACATGTTGTCGCAAGACCAAATGCACGTAGGGCCCCCTTGGAAGAAAATCCCTTCAGCCCTACACTACCTTTTGGGGGCCGGTTCGCTTCCTCTAGAGGTTAAGCGTGAGCCATATTTCTGGGTAAGTAAGGGACATAACCTAGGTAAGCATGTTCTGACTGATGTGCGCGGGTGAAGCCGCCGTTGCAGCGGGACCAAGCCATTGGCAAAACCAAAGTACACTCCCAGTGACGTCTCACCAAAAGAGTACTTTGGCTAGGGGAGGGGGGGAGTGTGGATGGGACATGGCCGAGCCAGGGATTTGGGTGAGTGGTGGAGTTGGACAGCGGGAGCTTATCGGGTGGAGCAAGAAGAGAGGAAAAAGAAAAGTCAAAATGTGGCGCTGTGGCTTGAGATGGGAATAGGTACGTTCAGTGTGAGAGATCGAGGTATTGATGGGGTTAGGGCTTGTGATGTTTATTTTTGAAGGATTGATAAGATGGAGGTTTATTTGAAGACACGTTGTGTTGCGGGAAAGGCGTGAACGTGGACGTGTCTTTTCAGAGCCTGAAAGACGAACGGTGAAGCTTATAATGAAGCTTGTTTGCGAAGCTCCTCTCATGTCTTGAACTGGGGATCACGTTAGCGGTACAAATTGAAGCAAAGCGTCTTTCGAAAAACCTACATGATGATACTACGAAGAAGAAGTTCTGTTGCAAATGACGTGTTTAGAGGGAGGCCTATGTTGACTCATTAGTCAACATTGGGAGTAGCTTGTGAATGGGACTACGTGTTCATGGGATATTAAACTTTGAGATGTGACTCAATAGAAAGTGAGGCTGCAGACGATTCCCGGTCTTTAATGCTTAACTTTGCCAAAGCCTTGTGGCAAAGCGTGTCCTCTCATAGCTGTCTCCGACGAGTCTTCACGAACTTTGCCCTGACCTTTCTCATGACCATCAGGGTCCTCAAAGTCGCCACCAGAATCTTTACGGTACTTGGTACATATGAGAACCAAGATGATAATCTTAGAACCGTCACCAACCGCGGGATTGAGGACTGTTCATGATATCCATTGGACTCGAGGGCTCGTATCACGAACATGAAGGCAGCTTGCAAGCCTAATTCTCAACCAATTAGCATCCGGTATGGTGTAGTGGCTAACATTTCGCGCTCTCATAACCTGAGAGATCAAGTACCGCGGAGCCCAGGGTTCGATTCCCTGTACCGGAGTTTCTCTTTTGCATTTTTGCCATCTTGAATTATAAGCTCGTTCGTTCGGTTGGCGCCCTTTTCTTTTTGTTGGCATTGTCGACTACCCAGTGAGTGGTTTGTCATTGAAGCGGGCTTTCAGTGACTGTCCTTGGTGGATGTGAGGGAATTGGCACAGGGATCTATCTGCCTTTAGCAATTGTCTTTGAGTAAATGAATGGCGTTGAGCAGTCAAAGATCGAGTGACATCATCACTCGCTGGGTCTTTCACCCTCAGCAATTGATTCTCCCTGCAACTTGACGTGGGGAGTCAATGATCTCTGCTGAAGTTCAATCTTAGCGGTTGTGTAGCTTGTACTAATGCGTGTATACTACGACTGAGAATCCCTCACTTCCTGCTGGATATCGCTTTGTAGGCGGCGACCCAACTAGGAAGATCCATATAAGCTCAACATTTGCTTACCATTGAGATACAATCAACCCTCATTAATTGAAGCTGCATTTGTCAATCATTACGGTTGATTCATTATGTCATGTCCTTCTATAGTACAACCTTTTGTCCCTTCCTCACACTCACTGACCAGCGGCAATAGTGTAACCTCCATCAACAGCAACAGTCTGTCCCACCAAATACTGGTTCGTAGCAAAGAACAGCACCGTAGCAGCCATATCCTGATCCTTGCCAGCCCGTCCAGCGGGAACCTTCTCAGCATACTTCTCCTTGGGGATAAAGCTCTTCTGAGCCTCATCACTTCCATCGGTGGTCATCTCAGAGGGGAAGACACCAGGAGCGATACCGTTGACGCGGATCTTGAGCTTGTTGCTGACAATCTCGGCGGCGAGCATGCGCGTGAGATGCACGGCTGCGCCCTTGGAGGCGTTGTAGGCAAAGTGGTGCTGAGACTTCTGGATAAGACCGCTGATAGAGCTGATGTTGATGACAGTTGAACTCCAGCCCTGGTGCTTCTCACTGCTCTTCTGCAACAGAGGCAAGAAAGCAGCGGTGGTGAAGTACAAGCCCGTGACGTTCGTGTTGTACGTCGAGTTCCAGTCCTCAAACGTAGCATCCTTGTTATCGAAGAGGTTCTCCTTCATCTCCTGCGCAGAATCGGCCTCGACCTGGAAAGAGTTGCTGGAGATACCAGCGTTGTTGACGAGAATGCAGAGGCAGTTCTCTCTGGAGGAGTACTCCTCGTAGAGCTTCTGAATGCCTTCCTTGTTACCGACGTCGGCTTGGATGGGGATGATCTCGCCGGCGATGTTCTTGCCGTACTTCTCGACAACGGTATCGAGCTTCTCCTTTGTGCGGCCGGTGATGTAGACCTTTGCGCCGTTGACGGCGAGGGCTTGGGTGGCCATGAGGCCGATGCCAGAGCCACCACCTGACCTGTTAGCCATACTGCTGTACGAAGCGACCGAGATATCACGTACCTGTTACGAGAGCAACCTTGCCCGAGAGATCAAACAAAGCATCACGAGAAAAGTCTCGGTGCTCGCCACCACTTGCTGGTTGTGTTCCCGACATTTTAGTTGTAGTGTACTGCAAGTCTTTTCTGCTACTCGACTGAAAGGTTCGTAGTTGATTTGAAGTTGTGATACAAGAGTTCTTAACAAAAGGAGTCGTAAGTCGAAGTGAAGGTGCAAGAAAGCTTCTAGAGCCAAGTCTAAGACACTGCCTGGACATGATTCTTATACCAAACGATTCTTCAATTAAAGAGGGGTAGCTACACAATAAAAAGTAGAAACTGCAACTGGCAAGAACTGGCACCTCAACCAATGCGCATCTTATGGCCTCCCTTGCCCAATGACGAGCTCATGATGAGATCAGCACTTTCTCTTCTGCAGCAGGAGCTTCAGCCCATGACGAAAGAGAGCGGAGGAAGTGATCCGTGAATTGCGAGAGAAGGAAAGAAAGGGTATGACAAGCGAAACAACAATTGGAGTCTTTTGCAGTGTGAGGCTCTATCATGACGTCGACGTGGGGTCAAGATGATGAATTGACCAGTACTCATCGCGATCTTCATAAGCTTACAAAGAAAATGTTGAAGAAACATTGATCAGCCAAGCCACAAATTACCCTATTTAGATACCAACGGGTGAATTGGCCTGTAAGGTTAAGAAATGGCTTCATAGCGTGTCATGACTTCCAAGTAGAGGCGTGAGGCTTAACATGGTGCCCCACTACAGCTTCAACGACATCAACACCATCACGATCCTCTTTGAGACATTGACAGTTCCAACAACACTCGATTGTTTCACTCACAGTAATCCTACACTTGTATCCGATATCGTCTCATTACAGATCTCAACGGCGTTACCCAAACCAAACGCCATTCCATGCATTCCAATTCTCCTTCACCCGAGCATCATCTATTTAACCTCGATATGCTGCACTGCCTTCTGCCACTTTTGCTCGTCCGTCCTGTTACATTAGATGAGCCATTGTCCATCAGGGTTGTACGTAGTAAATACTTACTTGTCAAAGCGCAATAGCTTGCCCAGCACCGGCACAAGCTGAGCTCTTAGCTTGGTATCCTTCTGCTCCAAGAACTGCAGCAGAATTGTCTTGAGATAGACCGTATCTGGAGTTCCGCCAGCTGCCGGCGAGCCATTGCTTCCGCTTCGCACCGAATCGAACGAGCTGCGGCTTGAATTGGCCACGAGCTTGGTCTGCACTGACTTGAGGTCCTTGGATACCTTCTCGTATCGTTGCCTTGCCTCCTCCAACATTCGTCGCAACTCGGCTCGCTGCTTCTCAACATCACGAACTTGCTTCTCTGATGCATCGAGAGCTGTGCGCAGCTGTGATGCTGTTGTTCGGAGCTCATCCGCCTCAGCTTCAGCCTTCTCTTCCACTGATTCAAGCTCTTCTCGTCGTCGGCGCCACTCCTTCTCGCGCTGCTCAAGCTCATCTCGCTCATGTGTCAGAGTCTTGACCTCGCGCTCCAGATCCTTCAGCTTCAGCTTCAAGTCTTCCGTCTCGCGTGTCTTGCGTCGCGCAAGGGTGCTCGACTCGTCCTCGATTCGATCTCGCTCCTCAACAGCTGCCTCCATTCGCGCTCTCATCTCTCGCACCTTGTTGTCGGCACGCTCATCGACATCCGCCAACAATCGTCGCATTGTCTCGCCCTCACGGGTACGTTCCTGGAGTAGTCGCTGAACCTCAGCAAGCTCCTCCTCCAGCGACTCAGCCTGCGACTTGGACTCCTTCAATTGCACAGACATTTCCGCCGTCTGGTCTCGCATACTACTCAACAGACCCTGGGCGTTGCTGTACTGCTGGGTCTTGAACTCGGCCTCTTCTTGCGCTGCGGTCTTCTCCCGCTTCAATTTGTGCATCTGCTCTTCAAGTTCCTTCACCTTGGGTCGCAGCTTGCTGAGCTCCTCCTGTACTGTCTTGAGCTCTTGCTCTGTCTTCTCGGCCTTGGCACTAATCTCAACCTTCTCAGCTTCAGATCGGCGAAGGTCTCGTCCAAATACCCGTTGAGCATCCTCAAGACGAAGTTTGGCGTTTGTCTCGGTTGCCAATTTCTCCTGTAGACCCTTAATCTCAGTCTCGCGATCCGACGCTAGCTTCCGAACACGCTCCACATCTCGCTTGAGATCCTTCTCTCGCTTTTCCATATCCTTGAGCTCCTTAGTCTTGGCTGCGAGCTCCTCCTTCGTAGTCTTTAGCGTAGCAGACTCCTGGCGCAGGCTCTTCAGCTCAGGCTGCGCCTTCTGTAGCACCTCACGTAGTTCTGTGAGGTCCTTGAATCGGTTCTGAGCCAGTTGCTGAGCGGCACCCAGATCGGCTTGCAGGGTGGTCGTCTTCTCCTTGAGCTCGTCGTATTCCGTCTTCAAAGAATCCATCTCGCTCTGCAGCTTGGTGCTGGCTTCGGCATCTGAAGCAGATGAGTCAATCTTCTTCTCAAGATCAGCAATCTGTGTCTTGAGTTCCAACTTCTCAGCCTCGAGCTCTTTAATCTTCTCCTTGGCCTCAACATGATCTTGACCAATTGTGAGCAGGTTCTCTTGGAGTGACTCAATCTCCTCGCGTAGATCCTCCTCAGTCTTGCGCCTCTTGCTCAGACGCTCAATCTGCGTATCCTTCTCAGCAACCTCCTCCTTCAGCTTGGCGATCTCAGCCTCAAGCTCAGCATTTCCTTCGGGCTCAGCGGGAGTTGCTGGCTCAGGAGTCTCTACAGCAGCCTCTATAGCTGGAGCAGCAGCACCACCGGCACCACCCTTGCCCTTCTTCTTTTTGTTCTTCTTCTTGTTTCCACCGCCCGTAGCCGCAGCAGGTTGTGAGGCCGCAGGCGCTGGAGTTGCAGCGGCAGTGGGTACAGCAGGAGCAGGCTTCGACTCCAATTTCTTGGTCAGATCGTCAATCTTGGTTTGGCTTTCGGACTTTTCCTTCTTCAGAAATTCGATCTGGCTGTTGAGGTCATCGATCAGTTTCTTGGAGATGTTCTTTGCGTTTGAGGCCTTGGCCAACTCGGCGTCCAGTTCGCTCGCGCGCTTGTCTGATGAAGCAAGTGAAACCTCCAACTCATCAACCTTGGCTGTATGCGTGCTCTTGTCTTCTTCCAGCTGTTTGAGTTGCTTTTGTACCTCTTCCAATCGTTGGTTCAGAGACTCGATCTCCTTGTTGCGCTCATCAAGCTGGGTCTGCAGGGACTCCTTGGCGGCGGCAGCATCGCGAGACTCGCTGAGCTCCCGAGTCGCATTCTCCAGGTTCTCAACCAGACCAGCGCTGTTCTCCTTAACGGTAGTAAGCTCCTTCTGAAGACTCTCGACCTCGGACTTGAGCTTCTCAATTTCCTCAGACTTTGACGTAAGGTCAGCCTGAAGCTGGGGAATCTCATCGTCGTAAGAGAAGAATTCCTCGCTTTTGTCCTTGGACTCAGTAACCTCAGATAGAGACTTTTGCGGCTTATGCTTGGGCGAGAACATTCCGATGACGGAGGAAACAGGAGACTTGGACTTTTCGGGGACCTCAGGGGGAGTGTCTTCGTGCTTATCGTCCTTATGAGCTTCAGATTCGTCGGTCTTTGGCTGAGTAGAGTCTCCTGACTTGAGTGCCGCAAGCTCTTCCTCCAATTTCTTGGCCTTTTCCTCGGTTTCGTTGTGCTTCTTCTGTAGCTCTTCCTTATCTGTCGAAACCTTCTTCAGCTCCTGCATCACCATGTCGCTTCGGAGGTTCAGTTGGTTGAGATACTCGACGAGAGCTTCGGGGTCGCTGATGGAAGTCAGGGGGGTGTTTTCTCGGAGGGCTTTCTCGAATGGTTCGATCGCTGTCGCTCGCCTATGGGCAACACGGTAAGATCGAAGTAATTCTTTGAACATGTGTTAGTTTCCTGCCCCTGGCGTGCGCATTCGTAGATATGGCCTTACCGGGATACGTCGCCTCGAGCTTCTCCAGTTTGCGCAGCTTTTGGCGGATCTCAGGGCTCAACTCTTGAGACTTGGTCGCCTCTGGCTTGGCCGCCGAAGCGTCAGCTCCACCATCCTGATTCTTGCCCGAACTGGCATCATCCTTGGAATCATCTGCGTTCTTTTCATCCGATCCGTTGTTCTGAGCGTTGCTATTGTCGGTCTTCGAATCGTCGTTTGCAGCAGGAGGCATTGGGGTAGTAGCTCGGCTCGGCTCACTCTCGTCGTCGATCACGAAAGCGGCTTCGAACACGGCAGGATCCGGGTTCGGTGCGTCGCCAGCATCGGCAGCTTGTTTCCTAGCCTTTGCGCGCTGAGCTGGTGTGCCATCGCCCTTGCGCGACGATGTTGAGCGGGTTCTCGAGGGGGACCTGGACTGCGCAGCTGTCTGTGAGCGGGCTTGTTCTTCGGCGATGGTCCGATCGATGGCGCTTTTGAACCGCTGGAACATGTCAGTCGTTGCACATACGAGGTGTAAGCAGATAATTATCACGGAGAACTAACTTGGAACATGATGGCTCCCTTGGGTCAAAGACCAACGTCTTAAGATACCAAGGGACGCGCGTAATTTCAATATTAAATACGAATCTTTGGGGTAGGAAAATATAAAGAGACAAAAGAAAGTCTAGAAGATCAATGTAAAGAGAATAGTAGGCTACTCAACAAAACGCCTTCATGACGATGCGAACGTTGGCAGTAGTTAAGCTGATGAAAGGAGTTGCAGGGTCTCAATGGACAGAGTTACAGCACTTGCTTCCGAGCCATGACCGATCCCGTCAAATTTCTGGGGTATGATTGTGGCGTTTAATGATTGTGGCTCAGCCGCTCAGGGGCCGCATTCCACGTTTCCATGTCAGCAATAGCTTGATCCTTTGGCTTTGATGTCCTTGACAATTAGGGAGTTTTGAACTACCTATACAGGGAGAACATAAGATATTAAAAAGATTGGTAGTTAAATTTATTCCAGGTGGCTGACCCATTGTTGCAGGTCGAGAGCTGCACTCGCCTGTAACATCGCCTGTGACCTGTAACTTGTAATATGTTGGAGCTTAAGATACAGTAGTGATAAGTCACTCTACTGAACACTCGAGTCCAGGTTGGCTTCAACAATTGAATTTTTCAGTCACATACTTATGTTTCGTTTTTCAAGCAAAGCCTCCAATTCATTAGCTATAGCTGTCATCAAGTTCTCACTGTTTGTTAAGCTCAACTGATCTTCAAGCTTCCAAATTTGGCATCAGTGGAGCCACTGCAGGCCCCTACAGGCTACAGCTCCCTCCCTGCCCTGTCCTGCTTGGACTCAAATCTGTTCTAGGCTGCTGCCCACATGCTCAAGCTCAGCTGAATGAGGTCACTCCTGGCGAGAAGCTACCGTCACAACTTCACCATTCCTTTACATCACATCTTTTGTCTATCCTTCACTTCTCCAACCTTTTCTTCGTACCGCGACTTTTTTCTATTTCGCCCAAATCTTGGGCATACTCTCCCTTTCTATTCTCGTTTCATTCTGTTATCTTTCCTTTGTGTACTTCTATCCTCAAATCTCCCCCCACTGTTACTTTGATCAAAATGGTGGCCTTTTGGCCCTGGGGGGTAAGTCGCCATCACTAGATGACTTCATTGCCAGAGCTAACATGACCTTCGTAGGGCGAATCCTCCTCAACTGCCTCCTTCGAGAAGACCCTCTCTACCCTGTCAACTAAAATCACTGACACTCAAGCGTCCCTCGACAAGGTCCGCGCAAGCTCTCGCCGCGCTCGCGTCATCTGGACACTCTACCTCAGTTTCGCCTATCTCGTCTATGCGATCGTTCTCTTACTTGTCGTCGGATATAACAATCTCGGCGCTTTCGAATGGGGCGGTCTTACCGGTGGCCCAGTGCTGTAAGTCCTCCCTTAATCCTGAGCATGCGACTCAGGCTGACGATATCATGACAGCATCTACGTTACACGCACGACCCTGGCCGCATATTACAACTTTCGCATCGAGAGCCTAAGCGCTCGTCTCAAGGACCATCAGTCAGAGCGCGCGAAGACGATCCAGAAACTCAAGGATGCCACTAAATATGACTCTACCATGGAATTGATCGAGAAGTACGGCGGGGCTGATGGAAAGAGCAAGGGCAAGAAGAAGGATGGCGAACAAAATGCCGACGATACGCCCAACAAGCAGCGACCTAATGGTCCTCCGCAGGGAGCTCCCGGACGAACGCGCATGCCCCCTCCTCCGACAGCCAACATCCAGCGCCCGCATAGCCCAATGCCAGCTCCAAACCCCATGGAACCAAGTGCTGAATTTGCTCCCAACGCTGAATTCACTGAACCTCCTCCTCCGCCTCCTATCGTCCCTGGTACTCCTCAGCCTCCTCCGATGCCAACCGGATACGCCTCATACCAGACCGGACCCCCTGAATCTCACTGGTACGACCGTATCTTTGACGTTCTTCTCGGCGAGGATGAGACTGCGCCCAAGAATCGAATTGTTCTCATCTGCAAATCATGCCGACTTGTCAATGGCCAAGCTCCCCCTGGAACCAAGACGCTTTCCGAGGTCGGGCAATGGAGGTGCATGTCCTGCGGTGCTCTCAACGGAGAGATCGACGAGGGAAAGCGCATCATGAACGAGGTTCTCGATGCCGCCAAAGATGCTCCCACAGATGGCGAGAGCGCTCATGAAGACTTCGCTAGTGACAAGGGTGAGCCTCCCATGATCGAGGTGGGCAAGTCAGGGATCAAGGAGGAAGACGATGACGGTCCAGCCGCAAGCGTTAAGAAACGCCGAGGCAAGGGCAAGAAATGATCTGTATCTACTATGTAATTCTATACGAGCACCACGGTGTTGACAAATACGGGAATGAGGTTTGGGTTTGGGTTTGTTTAATAATGCAAATACTTTGGAACTTGCTCACCCTGGACTAGTCTGTCAAGGAGAGCATTGGGTCATGAATCTTTGGTCGCTACGTATAGTTCTCGTTGAGGAAACCATAAGATATTTTAGTTTCCCGATACGCTCTCCTGTCCCCTGCGGATGTTACTGGCCAGAGACCGGCGTGTGCATGACGTTCATCTGCAAGAGTTCCTCAATTAGGAGTTGTTGAGAGCAGTCATCCTCCGAACAACATTGGTAATGATAAGGGACTCTGTATCGCCATGAACTACAGGACCTTTGAATCTTTGGACAACCGTAGAGAACGTTGGCTGTGTGAGGGCCGACACCATGAAGGCCATACCCTCAATTGCCCATATCTTTCATCCCATCCCATCTCATCGCCCACTTGAGTTGTGTCCTTAACATCCGTGAGACGATAACAACATAACCTATACTGCCATCACATGCTGCGAACAGCATACCATCTTCGCTACAGACGTCATAAACGTAACCTCTGCCATCCAACTCAAGCTCTCAACTCTCACCTCTCAACAAACCATCACGCCACAATCTCATATCATCGCTGTAAAACAAGTCAAGTCTATCATTTTCAGCTATACAGTCTTCTGACCAAAGTAGTTCCAACAAACGCTTCTGTTAAGTCTTCCATGTAATACTGTAAAGCCTAGCCATGCATAGCACCCAAGATTCATCATGATCTAGACCAAAGAGCGCTAAGACATCGGACAAGTCGTTGAATCTTTTACCCCTTGCATGTGCTTTCCCCCTCGCCTACATACATCATCGTAGTCGGCTCGCTTGATAAGATGCCGCTGTTCCAGGTCGTCAAGATGTACAAGTGTAATGTAGCACCGCAAGCCGTTCGTGTGGATCATCAAAAACAATAAAAAAAAAGACCAGTCAATCCCACATGCGTCAGTCATGTGGGTTGCCGTGGGCTGTCGACTTGTGTTTCGCTTGTTTCTCTGTATTCGACATGCCCGAAGCGTCTATAATCAATTTATCTCTTCCTCACTTCCGTCGCCCAGCCGTCGATGCCTTCACCGCGGCCACCGACTTCCAGGCCCTCAATCTTCAACCCCTTCATGCCAGGTGTATCCTCCAACCAGACGTGACCTGCCATACCGCCAGCATTGGCTCGTTTCTCAGGTACTAACTCCAACATTGGGGTCAAGAAGTCTGCGATACGCTTTGCTTCGTCTTCCTTGAAGTGATACTTCTCGCGTAGCACATCTGGTAGAGCCCAATGCCGCAGTCGGTGGATGTTTCGCAATTCTCCCTTTCGGTTGAAGATCTCCTGACTCCACTTGCCACTGAGACATAGAGATTTGGGGAATGGCCCAAGAAGCTCGATGATTTGAGCAATGTGATCATCGTCCTTTCCGTACTTGGTACCTGACTGGGGGTCAAACAAGTAATCACCTGTGATTAACTCAAAAACCTGGTGGGCAGTCAGTAATGTTCTACAGAAGCCAGTGCCAGCTTCACCACGAAGATCGTTGTACATACCATAGCTGCCATACTCCATACATCAGTGCTGGCACCCCATTTGGAACCCAAAATGACCTCGGGTGATCTATATTGTCTTGTCTGGATGTCGTTGGTAAAGTGATGATTGACCCAGCAGGCATTGCCCAGGTCTGCAATCTTGACGCTGATAACGTCGAAAGCGTGCGCATCTTCTGCCTTGCGCTTTTCGCCTGTTGAAGCAGAGGGAGAGTTTGACTTGTCTAGAGAGATGCCTGAGACTTCTCGACTGAGAAGGTCGCTTGAGTTTTGTTAGTGTCTGATGGAACCTTGTCGTTGAGTGGCGAATAACTTACGCAGACTTTTCTCGCTGCTTTTGGGCATCGTCGGATGGTTTGGGAGATGCCTCCTTTGATGACTTGCCTGCTGACAAGATCGCGTTAGTCATTTTTGAGCCATATACGAGATGATCCATAGCTTGCTTACCCTCGTTCAGGACACCAGCAAGACTAGAGTGGGTGTTCGGTGAGGGGAAAAGGTTCGACTGGTTGAAGCTGGTATTGAGAGGAGATGGCAGTGGTTGACTGCCAGTAATAAGAGTCCTTCGGCGCCGCCGTCCATTGCGGTTGTTCTCCTTTTCGGCAGATTCAGGTTTGACGACGCGCTTAACGATCTGTTCAACATCCCCAATCTCGATAAGGACGTTTTCTGGTTTGAGGTCGGTGTGGATGATACCGCATTCGCGATGGAGGTAGTCCAGGCCTAGTAGAACCTGCTTTGTAATTTGTTTGACGAGAGGCATGGGAATGCCACGGTGATTCCAGCGCTTTATGAGCCCAAGCAAATTCTCTCCCAGCACCTCGAAAACCATACAGACGTGGGTGCCGTGGGGTCCCTTGTGCTCGAACGAGTCCAAAAGACTCACGACATGCTTGCGACCAGGGTGGTCGGGCTTGGCTTGGACAATCTTGTTGAGCAGCTTGATCTCATCGATGGCGGTCTCGGTGTAGTGGGCGGCGGAGCGGACGACCTTGAGGGCGACATGCTTGCCGTTGGTATTGTCGCGGGACAGCCAGACGGTTGAGAAATGACCCCATCCTAGCTTGCGAACCACGGTGTATTTTCCATCCTTGAACTTCTCTCCGACTTGTACTGGGTGGTAGCCACCTTTGCAGTAATCTTCAGAATCCTCCTCATCTGCAGTATTTTCGGCGGCATCGTCGACGGACGAGGAAGAGGGGGAGTGGGCCATGGCGGAAAGCTGGTGGGATCTATAAGGGGGGAAAGAGGTCAGCGGTGGCTTAAAATATATGTAGAGATGCGGCAAAAATCAGCGCAACAAGGCGACGTGTAGATGATGAACAAGAATTGAGGCGGAGCCAATGCAATCAGATCAAACAACCACGGTCGCAAGATTTGGTGGGAGAGCGACGGCGGCGAAAGAGCTGAGGCCTTGCGCGTGGTGGGGGACCTTTGCCGGATTGGGTTTGGGTGTAGTGAAATGGCGGGGAAACATCAAAACATCATCCAGACGATAACGTAGCAACGAGTCAAGTCTTTCACTGGCGCTTCCAGTTGAAGATTTCGGTACCAAAAAGACTCGGGCACTGAATTGACTGACAGCGGTGAAACACACGCCTAAGCTAGGGCGCCAAACCGCTACCGACAAAGCATAAACGGGACGGGGAAGTGTAACCTTGATTTGAGAAAGCTGGTCATGGTGCCTTCACATGACGCAGCTTGCGCTGGTAATAAGTCGGGCGTTGAGTCTGCTTCTTTGTCCTTCTCTGCTCCTGAACTTCGGGGGCACCAGCTCAAGTCAATCACGTAGTGAAAATAGTGACAATCGTGGGAGCAGCGCGCGACAGATAAGCCGGTGAGCGGCGTGGCGGTTTATGAGCGGGGGATAAGGAAAGGTGATGGAGAGAACAAGGATCTGGCGAAAATGACGAAGATGACAAAGACTTCTGGTGCACGATGGTAACGGTTGAGGTTGACTGCAAGCTGGGGCGCATAAAGGCCCGAGTGAAAGCCAAAAACAGGAGAAAGGAGAAAATAATATAAAAACAGGCGAGGCCAAGTCGAGGGAGAAATTAATGGAGATTAGAGGTCGACTGGCCTCGGGGGCGTGCTCCTTGTCTTTGGTTTTGATTTGCTTCGCTTTTCTTGACTCTGGGCTCAGCGTTCTTGCGGATCTGCAGTCGCTTGGCTTTCTGTTTCTAGGGCCCTGCTAGAGACCATGGGATGGCTGGCACGCGGCGCAACACGGAGCGTCCCGCCCGGCGAATAAAGGGTCTTTGAGAGCTCAAGGCTCGAATATCCAGCTCGCCAAGCGAGGTCCAAAGAAAGGGAGCGACAATAGAGAATGCAAAGTGATGGCAAAGGGAGGACAACTCAGTCAGGTGGTATCGCATCAGACAGCATGAGCACAACCATCACCATCACGTTCTCATCCTCCTCCACATGCATCAGCCAACAGAAGCTTCAGGCACAATCAGAGGTGCCATGGGCAAGTGACTGACTGCACCACCTCCAGGGCAGACCAAAATCAGGTACAGAGGACCCAGTGATCGATCGAGTAATCCAAGGTTGATGAATGCCCAAGACTTATGGGGTCGTATCCTCCTATCAACGCCCAAGCACGCGGGCCCCAAGCTCCAGAACAGCCACTGTGAGCAGTGTCCACACTTGTTTCAATCTGCCCTCAATGGTTCTGTAGGTGATGCAATGCCGCGCCATATTTGTTGAGTGTCCATTTTGGCGATATGAATGGAATGATGCTTGATCTTTCCTGAAACCATTATCTGTTTCCTTCATAAACAGGCACATGGAAGTTGTGGATCTGGTCTCATAACCGCAGCAATCTGAAATGTAGCTAGAGCAGTTGGGTTGTATCAGGGTCGTTGGCGACATCGGACCAGCGGCGCCTTGGAGATTTTGGGATGGTGCCAGGCGATCCATAAAACCAGCGGTCTCGAGGTGAATGTCATAGCAATGTGCAACCAAGAAGTTCCCCAAAATCAAGGTTGTGTAGGGCGATGCGGTTGCAACAAAACAAAACACGGAGAAAGAATGCGAAGCTGTATGTATAGATAACCAAAACAAAATGCGACCAGAACTCAAAAGACCAGAAAAGAAGCGTTTTTATACATACCCAGCTGGTTGGTTTGTACCCTCCATAGTAATTATCGGCTTCAAGTCCTTCTTGCGCTTCTTGGCCGCAAGACTGCTATTGTTGCTGTTGCTACCGTTGGTGTTGGCATTTGATGCCTTTTGGGCGTCGGGGGATTGTGTGCCGTTCATTGTGGTGTATTCGTCAAATCTGCCTGTGCGCGACAGTGCAGGATCTGTATTCTAGGGACAAGTCGAGATGTATCTGGCGTCTGTGTCGCCAGGTCGTAAATGATCAGAGTCGTGAAATCGTCAATGGGTTTATCGTAATGTCGGATGCGACAGCTTCTGGGTTCTTTTGGGCGTCGGTAAGAAATGATGTCGAGATGAAGTGGGGGAAGAGGGGCGCTTGTAAGTGCTCGCTCGATGGACGTGGGGTTATTTTCTGTTCTTTTTCTTTCGCGGAGATGCTTTCTCAAGTATTATCAAAATCGCTCAGACAGTTGAAGGTGCCGGACAGAGTCAGGAGAAGAATAGATCGGGGAGATGAGCACGGTAGGATAATTGTGGTCGTGGGGCGGCAGTGGCGTCAAGGTAGATCTTTTGCAAGTCGAACCAAAAGATGTTGCGCAGTAATAACCTAGTGGCGGCGCAATCTGAGGTGACTGGGATCAGTCAAGCACAGTGAGTGATTGTGCTTGGTGAATTGGTCCCAGTGTAAGCTAAAGCTAACACGCTGTAATATGGATACTTGAACGTAATCTGGTTGTCCGAGTAATGGCTTTGCGACGGCTCGTGTAGATGTTTTGATAGATACAAACTTGCTTGGAGAAGAAACGAGGAAGAAGGAAGAAGAATATAATCAGTCGGAGACGAGGAGGGGCAGCTAGAAGAAGCCAGCCCAGGGTCCGGGTTGATGAGGAAGGTTGGTGAGGTTCTTGCAGCCAACAGATTCTGCAATCATTTGTAAGGCCAGGTCAGGTCAGGTATCTACAAGTGCAAGTGCAGGCTAGTATCCTCAAATTTTGCGATCTAATTTCTAGCGTAAAGAAAAGACACCGAAAGCGCATCCCCTTGTGTTACCACAAGCATATAGTGATAGGTTATATTCAGTTTGGATTTGAGAGATTCATCTGAAAACACCAGATCCAGATGAACGAAAGACAAGACATGACTGAGACCTCAACCACGACGATACTCAAAGGCGGGCACTCTACGAGATGCATCGATACATGTGGATATCGTTCACCACGACCCTGAAGTAGCCTAACGTCTCACTGACAGGATTATGACGACGCACGAGAGGAAGCTTCTCGTTAGCATTGGATCCCACAAGAGAAACTTGATCTCTGGTCTTGTAACCCCCTGTGCCTGAAATCGAAAGCTTGGGTTGAGACACACAGCTAGTGGCATTTGGAGAAGGTATCGGTTATCAAAAAGATACGCGCTAAATCGACACTCTCACTCGCAGATTTCGAGAGTCTGACGCCATTCCTCCAAAGTACCCCACGTCCGTGAGGTACTTGAACAACATGAGCAGGGCTCTCCATGTTGTTCTTCTGCAAGGATGCGGCGAGTTAACTATTAATTCAGAAGATATCAATACTCCGTTCAGCTTCATGTTGATATTACTATATTACCGCTACAATGGCCCTTGTGTTGCTGGCTTCTTCGCTATACCTACCCCAAATCGTATTCGCATTCATAAGGCATTGAATTTCAACTCCAGCCTCTCCGACCACCAAAATCTTTGGGCTTCAATACCCGAATCTGACGTCACCGCTCCAGGGACTTACCAAGGAAGACTTCCCGAAAGCCCAGCCGTGAAACGCCATATTTCAAATACACCCAGTGAGAAAATAGACTTGTTCAACTTGAGTACTTTAGGACCGTACTCCGTTACACGGGGATCTGGGATGTTATGCTTTGAGTAAGGCCTGGCTGTGTTCCACTTACATGAGCTAAACTCTAAGGTTGAAGCCATGTGGGCAACGCTTCTGCAAGTGATGACAGAGTCACAGAAGAGGTGCTCTCACAAGCATGAACCGAGGTTGCCACGAAGAATGCAAGATTTCAAGATTGGGTGAATCATCCCACCATGTCAACTACATTCACCTTTCTAGCATTTGTTTAGCGACTGAACATCCCCAACACCACGTGGAAGCCAACCGTCCATGTCATCTGGTGTCTCAAGAGCACGGGACGACCATGTTTCACATCACAAGTATCAGAGTCACAAACAAGGATGATATGGAAAAAGTAGTTCGCGTTAGCCCATCATGAGAGCTCCGATTTTGATGTGTTTAATAGCCTATTATGTGAACGCCGAGAACGCCAAACCTAGAACCCGCGTGCGTCAACCATCTTCTGTCTCAACTAATAGCTTACAACCGTCATGCTCGCCTGAATATGGTACGTTCCAAGAAGCTCCGCAGAAAATCCAACCGTGAATTTTGGCCTTAGTTAGCCCGCTTCTTGCTCTTCTGAGCCATCTTGCGGAAAGCCTCCATACCACCAGCACCAAGGGGACGATGGCTGGAGTTTTGCGAGCCCATGAAGGTGCTCTGGGGAGCAACAGTGTAGCTCGAAGGCAAGTTGACCATACGCGCCGAGTTGTTACCTCGCGATGGGGCCAGTAGACGTTCGCGCTCAGCATCCTTGGCGTTGACGGCAGGACGCTGGGAAAGACTGAATTGAGAGCTGGTCTTCTGGCGTTGTGCCATCTTGGCAGATCTGGCATCAAAGTTAGCACGTGTAAGAAACAAGCCGCAAGAGAATACATACTCATAATCGTAGTCACGGGTCTCGATCTGGCGCTTCTTGTAATCGTCGGTTCGTTTCAGGATAGGTCGACTCCATTCTCCCAGGAGTCGTGTAGCAATTCTCTTGATACTGGGTTCGGGCTTCTTGCTACGAGTATAGAACACCACCACTCTTCCGATGCCGCTGCTGAGGAGTGCCTCTTTCTCGATGTTCATCTTGGCGAGAGCGTTGAAAATGTCACGTTGAATGTTGTACGCTGGAAGAGAGCCGTCGTTCAGAGGCTCCAAGAAGAACTTAACGTGCTGCAAAAAGTTCGTATCGGGATCCAGAACGGCGTGTTGGACGTTGTTTCGGTTCAAGATAGCGGTGACCTCGGGGAGAAGCTTCAGCTTGTGCAAAGCTGGTTGGCCGGCCTCGCGAGCTTGGTTATCAGCCTGACAAGCCTGCTCCATCTGTACCTTGAGATCCGCTAGAAGGTCATCAATCTCGTCCTCAAGATCCTGGGCAAAAAGAAATTAGTGGAAGAACTTGAGCATATGCAATTTGAAACCTACAATCTCATCCTTCTTCCTGCGCTTGAGACCGCTTGGCTTCTTGATTGCCGCATCTATCATTCGGTCGAGCTCTCGCTGCTTTCGCTCCGCCGGTGTCAAGTTCTCCTCCTTCTCTGGCTCTGGACTAGCAGGCTTAGAACGTTGACGTCGCTCTACATCACCAGCAGCGCGTCTTGAACGTCGTGACTTTTTGCCCCCATCCTCTGCATCATCCATATCAACATCTTCATCTCGATCTCGGCGCTTCTTATCTCGGCGGCCTTCGCGTGGCTTCTTCGGGGCCTCTCCATCTGCGCGCTTTCGCTTTGTAGCTTTCAATGTGCGAGCAACATCTTCGTCAATGTCAACGGGGCGGTCCTCGATGTTGGCCGTTTCGGGGTCGTAATCCTCGAACTGATCCTCGTCTACCTCGGACAGCGCATCCGAGTCGCGATCAGAATCAGCGGCGGCGACAGCATCTTCATATTCTTGCTCTTGGCCGTCGTTGACAGGCTCATTGGCGTGCTCGCCAATTGGGGAATCCCTTTCCGACATGGCGTCGCGTCGTCGATCGTGCGAGATCGCTCTGGGAGTTCTTTATCGCTTGTTGAAACTTGGTATTCACAGCGCTTCAGAGGCTTCGAGAGCTTGGTGCTTGAAATTTTGTTGGTTAAGACTCGTCGAAAGCTGTGAATATGGAAAGATTTGACAATTCGCAAACCTTCAACTTTCTTTGTCTGGCTAGAGCCGCCACAGGTGCGAGGCGCGACCCCTGTTCGCTGACATAATCGTGAAGCTCCACCTAGAAACCTCAGGCAGGTGACCCGCACCCTTTGTTTACTTTGGCCTTTTTGGTTGCCACGGATGGATTGAAGAATACTTGATGGGTTGAATCTGGCAGCTGCTTTCAGTCACTACAGCTGTCCCAACGTCAACCCCAACTTCTGTCCATCTGGCGAACCTTATACCGTAATTATTCGAGCTATTCAGTAGCTATCATCGATTATGGATCGTCGAACTTACGAAGGTCCTATGGACTGGGAGTACCAGAACAGTGGCCCTTTTGATCCCACAAGTCCTTTTACACATGCAGCAAAAAGTAACTCACAGAATGGCAAGTTTACCTTTACCGGCGTCACAGTTGTAGCTGTAGCTTCTATCATCAACGATGTCTGGCAGCTCTTTGCTAACCATTACTCGTAGTCTTTGGCTCCCCTTCGAAATCGAGCTCAAGACCAAATCCTTTCGCAAATCTAGGGACACCTTCAAAAACGAAACCGCCGCAATCCTCTTTTACTCCTCAATTATCATCGAGAGCTGCCGCGCCAGCTTTCCGTAACCCTGCCTTTACAACACCCCGACGACCTTTTGATGACGTTGCGCTGTCTGAAGCTTCAGGCGCAGAAGATAGCCCTGCCCTGACAGAAGTTTCTGACTTCCCGAACGATACTCCTGAGGCGGACCGGATGAGCGATCTCAACATGAGTGGCATGACGAGTCCCTCCAAGATCGACAAGTCCTTTCGTTACAGCAAGACTCCTTTCTCAAGCAAAAAGCATACACCAGGTCGAGGCGAAATACGGGCGACTCGAGACCTCTCTGTATCAGAATTTATTCGCAAGCGAAAGAGACACAATCTCGATAGAGATGTCAGCAGCATAACTCGACACCGCTGGACAGAGTCAGACTCCGATTCGGAAGATAGCATCGCGCCGAGACGAACTCGTGGCAAGAAGAAGGCAACAAAGGAAGCGCCAAGGGGTTTCTTGGGATCTCTGTTGCATATGTTGGACGAACACCCTAATGCCCCTGACAATCTTTACAGATGGGTCAAGTTGATTGTGAACTTCTTCCTGGTATCAGTCTTTGTCTACATTGGCTGGTCCATTGTAAGCACAGTGAAAACGGATATCGAAAATGCAAACGAGATGGCACGAATCGAGATCATGGGAAGAATTACGGAATGCCAAACTCAGTACAGTATCAACGGATGCGCTAAGAACGACCGTCCCGCGCTCAGAGTGGCATGCGAGGAGTGGTCTGAATGCATGACACAGAACCCTGAAGCCATCATGAGGGTCAAGGTGACCGCCAAGCAAATCGCCGAGATCATCAACGAGTTTTCCGAAGCAATGAACCTCAAGGCTTGGGTGGGTACCTCATGCAGCATACTACTGATCGCCAAGCTAACCACTTCACAGGGATTCTTCTTTGCTGTTCTTATCTTCTGCGCATTCGCGAACAACTTTTTCTTGGGTGGATATGTCAGCAAGCCAGCACCTCCCGTTCAGTCACAACCCGCAGCTCCACCTCACGATCCGTCCATGGCCCCTGAGAATGGTCCCGGATTCATGTGGGTTCCTGTTCAAACACCAAGGATGCAGCGTCACATGTTGCTCGACGATGGTACCGATACGGACAGTACACCGCCGCCGAAAATGAAGACGATTCTTGCGCCTCCATACACTCCTTCACTCCGTCGGAGCCCAAGCAAGACGGATCGAGGCCGTAGCCCTGTTAAAAACCGAAGTCCTAGTAAAGGGCGTCGCGAGCCGTTTGCATAGACTCTGATGGAGATTTAGGCATATATTATTCCATTTGTCATTGAATAACATGGCTGTATCATAGTGGTGTATGGGAACTGGGCGCATGTATACAGGGCGTGGTTCGGTGGTGTTTGGAAAATCAGGTCATAGCATGGACGGTGGTATCATGGGCGGATGAATGGATATTGGGGTAACATTGTCAATCACTATATACGGCAGTGAACTCTGCATCTTTTGTTACTGAAGAGTTCTCTCAACCCCTGTTATCGCTGTTGGAAGGGCATTATCAGCCACAGAGGCCGCAATTATAGGCCATGTTACAGTGCAGCTCAGCTTAAGGTTATGATCCAAGCTGAATTAATTGAACGTTGAGGCTGTCAGAGGCTGATGACGTACTGTGGGGTAAGGTTGAGAGGGGCACTTCGACGGATGGCCCTGGCATGAAAGTTAATTCTCAGGTGAAGATGAAGAAGACAACTGGAATGAACACCAATATTATGAGAAATCGCTCCTTTTTACCCACTTGAAGGCCATTTATCAGGGTCGCCCAGTGTTGTGTGGCAGCTTTCTTGGCATTTGCTCCAGTACCATCAACAGCACTTCGATCCAGCAATGTCAATCATATCTTGCCAAGGTATAACTTACCCCAGCCTACGATCAACCATGATGCTCTGATCGCCGCAAGCCTACCATATCTCTGACATCATATCCACAGGGGCTTTGGACCTACTCCCTTCTTGAGAGGTCTCATTGAACGAAACATAGGGCTTGGTCATGGCCGTCCGTTTTAAATCCATTTGGCTTCTTCCGATGCGAAGTTACGGTGATAAGATGGAGGGCTCGAAGGATGCGCCAAATGCAAGGAAGCATGCACAATCTGACAGACTCCGCAACGTTCCAATTGGACGATAGACGTGCTTGTGGTGGATGAGACCTCGGATCAGGCTGGGAGATAAGTTTGATGGCGTACAACTTTGCAGTTTTCCTTGCCAAGAAGCTGAGGGGAATTGCGGTGCGGACAAAAACAGCTTTGTCTCAGACATCTCAACGTTCAAAAAAGACATGATTTGCAGCTGGAGAATGGCGATGAGAGGGCGAGCAATAAGAAAGGCTCATTGATAGTCTACAACTGCAGAGTGACGACTCGAGCGCATTGCCCACTCAGACCATGGCCCTAACTAAATCTCGAGCTTGGTATGGTCTGGTCGATCTGGTCGTGGTTATCAGAGAACTTTGGACAGAAGAATCCTAGCTTGGGCTGTCATCTTGGATTAGAAAGACAAGAATATTTTTACCGGTTATCAAATTAGAGTTCGATCTTTTCTTCAGAAGTCAAAAGCGGAACAACCCTCTGATAACATAACCTGAAGAGGTTGAGCGCACCTTCCGAGTTCTACCTCAGGCAGAACCAGAAAGAGCTCTTTCATTCGGCCACCTAATCATTTTCTCAACTTTGATCTCCATCTCTCATCAACGCTCTTTATATTTCCCTATAGAGCCTCCATATCCGCGGTTCGATCATCGTCGGTTCCACGACATGAAGCGTGAGACAGAGCCAGGATCCCAGCTACGAGACATACCATCTACAGCAGAGTTCGCCGAGGAAACGCAGGATTTATTCAGCACGGTAACAGGGCATCAGGCAAATTAAAGCTACAGTCGGAAAGCTTCGCCGTGGTTCTATGCCTCTATTTGAACCGGCCCGAACCTGGTAATCGAGCGCGACGATAATCGTGATCGCAATCGCAAGAGATTCCCATACCGGACATAGCCAATCTTCATCGTCCCATTTCTCACACATCCCTACAATCAATCAGTTCTCATTTCACTCCTAATTTGTTCAACTTCCGTTACATGCGCAAAATTTCCGCTTTCGGTCTCAATTTGACTTCAACATCTTCAATTGTTCGACTCAAATAGTTGCCAATCCACGTTGTGCATGGACCACAGCGCCCAACTTTTGGTCTCTGTTGCCGGCGCAATCGACGATTGAGTGGACACCAAGTATACCAGTACTTCTTAGCAACCTTGTTAATCCCTCTTGAGAACGCAAATTGCGACAGAAAAAAGAGAAACAATATTGCGCGCTTCAAAGCGCCATTGATCTGCGACTCCTGCAAGCCTTCATTTTCTCTCCCTTGACTCGCGGAGTCGGCCTCGAGCTCCCTCGAACCCCCCGGTCGCGTATCCTCGACCTTGTGAACTTCCAAAGCTCACCTCTAGTTCGGTTACTTCGTGCTAGAGCCTAGCACTCTACTAGCTAGTCGACGAATGCGCATTGCCCGGGGTTTTTACCCAGATTTGACCTACGACTCGCTGCGACTGGTCTTGATGCAATTGTAAGAGCTTAGGTGGGCCATCTTCAACCGTCTTGTCTCCGCATCGCATTCTCCCCGCTACAAGGCCGCCGTGACGCGACTGAGAAAGCAGAAGTCATTCAGGTACCAACAGCCCAAAGTCATCTTCGCTTCTGGCGCCAAAAAATCAGCCCTGCATTTTTTGCGGTGACCAGAGGAGAACAAGGCGAGAGTTCAAGCTTCAAGACTCAGGTTGTAACTTTGACGACACCATCGCGAATCCCCTCGCAGCATGTCAGACTGCGCCGTGCCCTCCGCCGTCGCCCCTCCAAGACCTCATCTCACCCGAAGCTCTTCGAGCTGAAGGTTGGAGCTCACAAAGCTTCACGACGGACGCCTGGTTCCATACACACGACAATAGCGAAACAGCGAACCTTTCCTCTGTCCCACAAACTTTTGTAACTTTGCGATAGCCTGCGCTCAGGCTCGTTTTTCGAGTGATGGATGTTGACAACGAATATTCAGACGCTGGCAGTCAACGACAACCCAGTGCTGAACACACGCCGCAAGGAGCTACTGCGCAGGTTGGGGGAGCTTCCTCACAAGGGAATCCTACCCCCACCTCAGTTCACTCCTCCAATACGCCCTCGACTGCATCTGGTCCTGCAACAGCCAACGTCACCCATACACAAAACTCGAAACGTCGCCGAGGGCTGGGTGTTGTGACGCCCAATGCCTGCACAGAATGCCGCAAGAAGCGCGCAAAGGTATGTAGCAGATCAGCTTACTTTCCTGGAGTCCCTGGTTGCGTAGTCCGCTCTTGTTCTTCACTTTCCTTGTACGTCATAGCATGTCCCACCACAACATTTCATTTAGCTTGTGATGGGCTTCCACAATTGGCTGCAGTGCTCGCCTCGTTCCCGTATTGATTATCCCGTAAACTCATCCTTGCTAACAATTGATGTTATAGTGCGATGGCAAAAAACCGTGCGGACGATGTAGAGCACAGAAAGATGCCGAATGTGTATACGAGATTCCCGTGCGCCAGTCGAAGGAGAACCTCCGAACCGAAATCGAAACTCTTCGACAGAAGCAGCGTTCGAGTGACCAAGTCTTCGCTGCTCTTGTCCGACCAGAACTATGGGAAGAGGTTTTAACCCGCCTTCGGGGCGGCCAACCCATCGAAACCATTTCAGAATGGCTCGCAAGCGCACCACGCCCTGGGGAGCGTTCGATATCTTCGTTTCCTCCCCGTTCCGAGGCGCCTACCATGGGCCCTAACCCGGGGTTCCCAGGAGGTGGACTGGGTACATTGGCAGCCATGAGCCTTGGTGCGAACCATCAACAGCCACAGCAGTCTTCCATGAGGCCCGAGATGGGTCAGCATAGTCCCTGGCAATCTTCCTTCAGCCAAACCGGATCAACGAGGAGCAACTCACATCCCGACGTCATGAACTGGCAGACAGATATGCGAGGACCGCCACAAAATCGAGTTGGGTCTTGGGCCGAAGGGATGAATCCAGATCAAATCTCGGACGGTCTTCCACGATATCGTGGAGTTGAACAGATCCTGTCACCGTTGAATGAACCGGGGCTGCGAACACCGTCTTCAACCTGGACCGTGATTACCGGCGATAGCGTTCTTGTTCAACATCTTCTGGCGTTGTATTTCTGTTGGGAGTATCCAACATTTGCGTCCCTGAGCAAAGAACACTTTCTACAGGATTTCCAGGAAGGACGGAATCGATATTGTTCACCGATACTGGTGAATGCCCTTCTTGCATTGGGGTGCCGCTTTTCGACACAGCCCATGTCTCGAGCCAATCCCAACGACCCTTATACGTCTGGCGACCACTTCTTCAAGGAGTCATTGAGACTATTTGCCCAGGAAACGGATCACCATTCCCTTACAACTATCCAAGCTTTGGGGATAATGTCGATCCGAGAGGCTAGTTGTGGGCGAGATTCAGAGAGTTGGTATTACGCTGGGCAGAGTATTCGACTCGCCATTGAGATGGGACTTCACCGGATAATGGACGAAGGAGATGAAGATGAACTCGCTGTGCAGTCAGCAACCTTCTGGGGTGCTTTTGCGCTTGACCAGTGAGTTTTCCCTTTCATCGTGAGATTTCCCTCTAACAGATACTACAGTGCATGGTCCCTCGCCACAGGCTCATTACCGCAATGCTCCTGCTTCCCTCACCTACCACCAAAGCCTGCGATAATAGGAGACATCGAAGCGTCTCTATGGGTGCCTTACACTGACGATGGTGAGTTTCTTATGTGTTATTCCATGACTATCGCTGACTGTGACAGGCGCTCCCTTACAACGCTCATGCCAACAACCGTCTAACGTGCGTTCCGTATATAAATGTTTCTGCGAACTCAGCGAGCTCGTACACCAATCTCTGTACATTCTGCATTCCCCCGGCAAACCCCTTACAGCGAGAGAACTTTTGAACATGTACACACAGTACCTCAATTGGTATGATCGCATACCTGAGGTCCTTCGCCTGGGGCATAATTTCACCCCAGCTGTGCTGTTCGCTCAGTAAGTCTCGAGCCCAACACGTTTCTTTCATCACGATCGCTAACTTGAGCAGCATGTACTATCATTTTGCGATCCTACTCTTGTTCCGGCCTCTAATCAAGCTACGGATCATTGGATCCAAGGTCTCACCTCGCGATGTCTGCTCACAGGCGGCCGACGCCATTCAAGGCCTTCTAAGATCTTACTCTTCACTCTACACCTTGCGGCGAACGCCCTCGTTCGTGCCATATTTTGTTCTCACATCAGCCATCATGCACCTAGCGATTGGTGCAACAACTGTCGGCTCGGATACGACCGAGGCGGATATGGAGAAAGCGGTCAAGGTGGATCCTCGTGTGGCCGAATCCATCACTCAAGGCATTTCAGATCTCACTGAGATGGCTCCTTGCCACCAATTCGCTGAGCAGGCTCTCAACATACTACGTTATTTGGCCGCAAAGTGGGACATTGATGTCGAAAACAACGTCGATAAGCTCACAGCGGAAGAGTACGACCGTTTGGTCTTGCCGCATACGGGGAGTCTCAACTTCTTCTCGCCCAACCTGAGGGACGGAGATATTACGTGCCAATGGGGCGCGGGACCATTCATGGGAGAACGATCACCTTCGGTCCAGAAGACAGGAGACAATATGGAAAACCCCCTTTTCTGGCCTTTCCCGATGCAAGGACGGCCGATTCTTCCTGATGGTGTTGAGCTGGAACATGCAGGTTTTGCGATCATATAGAAGGTTCTGGTCGTCTTTCAGTTGTGCATCCTGCTTATATATATCGAGTCCGTACACGACGACAGGTATCCCGGGGTTTTGGTCGGTGTTCTTACCAGGCGAAATGGGGTCAAAGGCAAAGGAATGCGGCGGGCATTTTCCGGCGAAAGGGGGCTTTGGTCTGTGGAGTCATTATCGCGGGTTCCAAAAGCGATTTGTTATGAGGTGTACCAACACTTGTGTAATAGAAAAGAGTGATTGCATGATATCATGGATCTTGGTCGAGTTGTTGCTTTTGGTGGGAGGGTTTGATACACGGAATACCCTGGAGAGGAATAAAATCGCCAACTCTGTCCATGCATATGTTTGTTCTTTGAGGCTTGTGGTTGATGATGAGCTTGCATGTGTTGTTCGGCATGCAGGTCAATGAAAGTGTCAACGTTTGCTGCATGTAGTCTGATGCCCAAACAGCAATTGTGGTGTAAAATTTGTCCATGCATGCTTGCAATTGCGCAAATGCTCGTTGCAGCAAGCAGTTTCTTTGCGAGCCACTCACAAATGATGCGGCGACAACGAGATACACGACAAGTCACAACCCATGTCGCTCCATCATGAAACATCGACCCTTTAGCTCTGATTAACTGCTGTCAAATCTTGTCCATCCCATGTAGAACGACACGCGTGTGTCACATTGCTTTGTCCCTCATTGCCTTGATTAGGTGCGACCCTGGCCGTGATGCAAGATCCCGCATACCCCCTGAAGACACGCCAGGGCCATGATTCAAACATGCAAATTGCCATGATTCCGATGCAAAACTCCCATTCTGTCATTCTGTACTGACGCGCTGAGGGGGAACGTGCAGGGGACATGACGATTGCTGAGTGTAGCCATATGCAGGTTCCCGAGATCAAGCACCAGAGGGTATACTCTTCATTTTCCAGAAGTCTTCTCCTTCTCTTCTTCCATTTCTTTCTTTTCACTTCTCTAAATAGATACGACGCTTGATATGAGGTTCTTAAACCCGGCTTTGAAGACGATTCCTGATTGATAACGCGCTACGAATTACCCCTTTTCTGCGCCGACACGAGACGAGGCATTGCCCACGAGCGACAGCGACAAGCAAAAGTTATCAATTCAAGTTACGAAAGCCACATTGCATGGTCGATGGTAAATGGTTTGTGTCTTTGGGCAATTGCGAAAAGGGTAGACTCCTGGAACTTGTTGGTCGAGCGCCAACGTGCTAGCCACGACGTTTGAGCGCAGGACATTCATACTCTACGAGAACACCAGCGATTAATCGTCGAATTGACAGAAGTACCTCAATAAATTGAGTCTTGTGATCAACCATTACAACCTTCCCTTGCGCCATTCTCAAGTGTCGTGTGCCTTGCTGTCTTCTGCTCCTGGAGTATCCCATACTTCCGCCGACAACGAACGCACTTACTACACTGAATTGGGACAATACAGCGCGGTTCAATAACAGAGATCGCTCTCCAAAGTCAACATCATCTTTTAAAGGCACCACTGCGCCCTGTTTGTCAAAGAGGCAACGTCGTGCCCGAATACTCGCCTGAAGCCCAGTGCAATACTCTTGACACTCATCACATATACTCCAACCATCAAAGCAACCGATACAAAATCCTCACCAGCTTCATCTCAGCGTCAAATAGATCCTCCGATTTCGATCACAATTTCTAATTGGATGCCCTGAGGCCGTTTACTTACTACCGCGCTGTGACCCCTACTGGAGCAACTGGAGCCAGGGGGCGTGTAACGACTTCCCGCTAAGAGGAATATATCTGCAAGTGGCACCTGGCGGGCACCTGGCATCAACATTGCATCCTCAAATTTTCATTGGACTCAAAACTTGAGTTGAGTCCTCAGTCATACCTGCAGCTTGCGCCCGCTACTTACCTTCCTTCTCTCCTCCTCGTTCTTCAGAGTTGCTGGGCAACAAGCCGTTCAAGAAACAGCTTCTTCTTCTTCTTCTTCTTCTTCTTCTTCTTCTTCTTCTTCTTCTTCTTCTTCTTCCTTCTCTTGTGCTCGGAGTCTTCCTTTGCATCTCTCTCTTCTTCAACCGTACTCATCCTTTCCGTCGTCAACCATTCTCATCATAACACACACTGCTCACATCTCTTCTATCACCAAGCTCTCAGAGCTTCTTGATCGCATAACAAGCCTTTTTACCCATCTCTCATCTCTTTGATGCTGTTCTCATTCTTGCTTTCAACGCCAGTTGTTGGTGTTTCTCCTTGACAACGAGTTCATCGAGCAAGACCATCTTCATCTTGCAAGATGGGGGACCAATACCACCAGGTGAGTGCAACAACGATATCTCTTCTCCTCGCATACTAATGTGTCCAAGATCCCAGGAGACCAGACTCCTTTGGAGATCATTACTCAGCATGTCAAGCACAAGAACGATCTGCCAAAGACTGGCAGCGTCCCTTGGCACATGGCTCCAGAGTTCCCTCACTCGAGCGAACTGATGTCCATCGATCCTGCCCCATTGCCTCATCCACCAGCGAACAAGGATATATCTGAGCATGATGCCAAGAATGCCTACCTTGAATTCCAGTATCTCACGAATCGTTTCGAGGGTACTGAGCTTCTTCGGCAAGCTATCAACTGCTTCAGGAACAAGCCTAGGATGATGGAGGAGAACAGAGGCAACTTCTACATCTATACACAAGTCAGTCACATTTTCTCCTTCCTCAAGTCTTCTACTAACAGCTTCAAGGTACACGTTCAAGGCTACTTGCTTGCCAGGTCTGGACCTGCCTGTCGCATATCCTTCTCAACGGAGCGCTCATCCACCAAAGTTGAGTGGAGACAGTCGAACCGGCTCACTGCTGGTACCCTTATTGCGCTGTCTCCCCGGGATGATAACTTCAACACCCAATGCTATGTTGCAGTTGTTGCAGCACGATACATTGTGGGTGGTCTTGAACCCGACCCTGAGAACAACGAAGATGTAAACACTCCACCCCGGATCGAGATCTTCTGGTCCGACTGCAACACTGCCGTCTTTGATCCTTCCGTTGAGATGGTGATGCTTGAAGCCAAAGGAGGTTATTTTGAGACTGTTCGTCACGCGATGGTTGGGCTGCAACACGCCGCAAAGTTTAAGTAAGTGTTTCCCAGTGTATTCTCAATTCTCAAACTAACATTCCTCAGTTCCAAGTTTGACAAATACATCATTTATGAGTCGAACACAGAACACATGGCCGCTTATCTTGCAGATACTCCAGGGCAAACTCCTAGTATTCCTGGAAGAGCTGAACACCTTGACCCTTCTCAAAGGGAGGCTTTCGAACGCATGACCCACAAAGAGATGGCTGTCGTCCAAGGTCCTCCTGGCACTGGCAAGACATTTACATCAGTTGTAGCCCTTGAAAGCTATATTCAGACTCTCAAATCTCGACAAAAAGGAACCGAATATATCCCACCTATTGTAGTTGCTGCTCAAACCAACCACGCTCTTGATCAGCTTCTAGACCGACTCTCAGTTTTTGAAGCCGTTATTGTGCGTCTTGGTGGGCGTACAGAAGACGAGGCGATAGAAGAGCGTTCTTTGTACAATCTCAAAGCCAACTCACAGCGCCCTCGAGGTGGTATCGGGGGTGAGACCGCTCGAAAAAAGGTTCTCGGCAGAATTGAGAAGTTGTTGTCGGAATGCTTCCCTGCATTTCTAATCCCAGCTGAAGAGTTTCTTCGAGAAGGACTCCTATCGGATGCTCAGTACGAGTCGTTGGACGATGACGAGTGGGAATCTGCTGCTTTGGTCAGTCGTGATGACGGAACTGAGATCGAGTCTCGCATTGCGCACTGGCTCCAGGACTTTATCGAGACAGACACCACTTATAAATATCGCCCTCCTCAGAATCAGGCTGAAGATCCTGCAAAGGAGGATGCCATTGACGAAACGCAGCAAGAGAATCAGAAGGAGAGACTCCATGGTGACTTCTTTCCCATGAAGTTCAATGTCACCGGTGCCCTTCCAGGCGCACTCTCCAAACAAGCCGCCTGGGCCCACCGAGCCCGGAGGATGTTGAAACAGCACCAAGACCTGTATAAGATCATTCCTCAACATCGCGGCATGGTCTATCGCCTCCTACGAGAAGAACTTATCCGCGCACGAGCTCAAAAGTTCCCTCAGCTTCTCAAAGAGTACCAGGAAGCCTGTGATGATATCAAAGTCAGCCGATGGGAGAACGACGTCAAGGTCATCAAGGATGAACATATTGAGATCGTGGGTTGTACAACCACCGGACTGTCCAAGTATCGAGGTATGATCTCAGCATTGAAGCCCCACATACTGATGATCGAGGAAGCGGCCGAAACTCGAGAAGCCAACATCAGTTCCGCTCTCTATCCCAGTCTGGACCAGGTCGTACTTGTCGGCGATCACCAGCAGCTGGTGCCATCTGTAGATGTGCGAGAACTCGGCTGTGAGCCCTACAATATGCATGTCTCTCTGTTTGAGCGCCTAGTCAAGCTCAACTTGCCATATAGTATGCTCCGAGTCCAGCGTCGTATGGTCCCTGCAATCCGCGAAGTGGTCAACGCGTTCTATCCCAAGCTCACCGATCATTGTTCCGTCTACGAACCAGACAACCGACCTCCTATACCAGGCATGGGCGGGAAGAGCCTTTGGTGGTTTGATCACGAGGGGCAGGAGATGCAGAATGCCAACGACTTTTCATTCTCGAATCCAGATGAAGCAGACATGATAGTCGGCTTCGTGCGATATCTTGTTCAGAACGGCGTGGACCCAGAGCGAATCACTGTTTTGACTTTCTACAAGGGGCAGGTTACCCTCATCACTGAGAAGCTTCGTCGGGATCTATTTCTGGAACTCAAGAATCCCTTGAAGAAGTGGTCCGTAAGGACTGTCGATAGTTTCCAGGGCGAAGAGAACGATGTCATTCTGCTATCGCTAGTTCGAACCGCCCGCCCAGGCTTTACTGGGAATGAGAATCGGGCAGTCGTGGCCACCAGCCGAGCGAGATGCGGAATGTATATCTTCGGCAACTCCCAAACACTCGTGCGAGAAGAGAATACAGAGGCATACAGTACATGGAGAAAAGTGGTTGATGTATTTGAAGGCCGCCAGAGTATCGACAATTGCCTGCCAGTCACTTGCCATAACCATGGGCAACGAACGAACATAAAGAATGCCAATGGTTGGAAACACATCCCTGGAGGTGGTTGCGACAAAAGTTGCGAGTACACGTGTGCAAAGGGCCATCCATGTCAGCTCACCTGTCACAAGTTCGACCAGAGCGAGGTCAAATGCTTGGAGAAGTGCGAAGAGGTCTTGAAGTGTGGCCACAATTGCGAATCGCTTTGTTGGCAATCTTGCGAGTGCCCCTCACGATGCGATGAGCCTCCAAAGATGAAGTTGGCTGTCAGAACTTCTCCAGTGCCTGCTCGAGCTCCCAAAGCACCTCATAGACCACGTAACACAGGTTTCGGGGCCAGTAACGGAGTTATAGCGGGTAGAGGAGGCCGGAACTCCAACAATAACTCAGGAAGGCCTAACTATCGCCCTCAGTCACGAAGAAATCGAACAATTTTGAAAGGACCCAGCCATGAGACGTCTCCAACTCGCCGGTTTGAAGCCCAGCCGCCCTCGACCTTTGACGCTCCAAGTTCCAAGGTCCAGACTTCAGCTCACATGGCGCAAACTCGAAAACATTGCTTAGAGCCAACCAGTGAACAGATAATGGAGGGAGGATACTATGCGGAAACGATCCAGCAAACCCAAACTGCGAAGAATGCCGTAACGACAACTACCTTCCTGGAGAGCTTCACGGATGCCTCAAAGGAAAGTTCTCGCCGCAAGAACTGGAGCCCTGAAAAGCTGGCTAAAAAGGATAAAGAACTCCTGGAGGACGCGAAAGCCAAGAGACGTCAGAAGAGCCCAGCATCAATCCACATCAGCGAGACCTGGCACCGCACAAGAACATCCGAGAACCTTAATCGGCAGTATGAAGAGACAGTTGAAGCACATTGGTCAATGAAGTACTCAACTTGCAAAGAGGCCAAGGCCGGCCAGGAGAATTCTGCTAAATCGGGCACTGAGATTGGACTTGAGTCGTCAGTGGATGATGGGGTCGAGGATGACAAGGCCGAAGATGACGAGGAGGACTTGATCAGCTTCGATTGAACTGCCTGAATGTTCTACACACCAGGTCGTACTCATACCATGGTTACAGCACATATTAATTGTATGTTCTTTGTAACATGACCGGTGTCAGTTCATCAGGTTCATGACTGGTATGTTGTGGGCGGAAATGGTTTGAGTAATTACACATCCTGTCAATCGCGGAAATGAGGATGTTGCTATCAATCGGGAGGGTTGGGGGACGGCCGGAGTGATTGAATGAATCACTTACGATAGTACTTGTAAATTATGTAGTAATTGGTGTAGAAATTGTACGAGTATTGTATTAAACTCTGACTGCTGCTGATTGAGTGACTCGAGAAGTCGAGGAATTTAGGAATAAGAATGGAATTTTGTCTAATTGCTAGAGGCAGGAAAATCCAACTACAAGTTAAGCTCGCCATGACCAACTCCAGCATATATAAAGCACGACGACCAGGTCACAGAGTTGGAGAGTCAGTTTCGGTTGAGACGAACCCAGGGCTCTCCTATTTATCCATTGGTAGCATTTATCTCATAACCGATGAGGACTTCTGTGCTGGTACCCTCCCAGCCTCTTGTGCCTGCAGCGCTCAGCATGTAGCGGCTTGTCGGGTCGATGTAGAGACTGGAGATGACGCCTGCACGGGGAGGACCGGGAATGATGAGGAAGGGAACGCTGGAGTGCTTCAAGGGCGATTCACGAAGATCGTAAAGGCGCATGATATCGTGGGAGGCACTGGACACTGTTAGTATAGACTGATAAGAGGGAATGGGGAGGGACTTTACCAGACGAGATGGCGGCCGTTTATCATGGGTCTCACGGCACTGACTGCTCCGCTGCCCCCGGGAAACTTGAGCGTCCTATGAGGTTCCCAGTTCCTCTTGGCCTTGTGAATATTATACTCCTCCACCGTCCCGTTGCGACGGCCCGCGTAGATGTTGTTGCCGGAGGGACTCCAGCACGCGCCCATGCACCACGGGGGGACACCGTTCCTCGTGCCGATGCGCGCTACGGGGTCGGGCTGGCGTCGATCCCAGATCCTCAATGTTCCGTCCATCGCGGCGGAGAGGAATGTTGTGTTTGATGTTTGTGTTGGATCGTGGTTTGTAGAGGTGTGTGATGTGAGGAGTAACGAGGGGGATGTTGGCTCGGACTTGGGGAGTGCGTCTTGGGATGGTTCTGTAGCTTGTGTCGGAGCTGGTACGAGATCTACGTCCATTGCGTCGCTTGCATCCTGCGATGGTTCAGGCGGGGGCGGTTCAACGACTGGTTCAGGTACAGGCTCAGGTTCGGGTTCGGGTTCTGGGTCCTTTCCTGCATCGAGAGCGGCCATGTCTGCTGAATGGTCCATAGCGCTATCGTGACCATGGCCCGGCATCACGGCAGCGAACTCGTCGTCGTCGTTGCCAAAGGGTTGATCCTCCTTTGTCTCACCGAATAAACTACCCGCGTCACTTCCTCCAAAGAGACTGTCGTGCGCAGGCGAAGCTGCACCATCACCATCGCCATTGCTGGGATTGGCGTTGAACTCAGCGGTCATATCGTCGACTCCATCGTTGGTGAGTGCGTCTGTAAAATTCCCATTCGCTATAGGCGCCGCGTTGTTTGTGGTCATTGTTGTAGGAGGCGGTGGTTCATCGTCGTCTTCTGGGATGGGAGCGCCGCTTGCGGGACGGAGTTCTAGAGCTGAGATTTGACCTGCATTTCCATCGAAGCTTCTGATCGTTTGACCAGTGTTGAGATCCCAATCAAAGATGTTCTTGTCCCATCCACCGCTGAGAACGCTCTTTTCGTCCTGTGCCATTGTCAAGACAGATACAGCGTTCGTGTGCTGCTGCAGACAGTGGATTCGCTTGCCCTCGTCGTGCCGAACACTCTGGAGGTTGATACCGCCTGACTCAAGACCAGACAGTAACCAAAGAGCCTGCGATTGAACCGCAAGAGAGTAAACAGGCGAGAGGATATGCTCCTGGTCTCCCCGTCCCGGAGGCGGCGGCTCCTCATTCTCCCAGTACGACATGAGTATCCCAGCCTTGGTAACGCTATCCACAAACGGATGTCTCTGCGCAACCGTCAAAGCCAACTTCCCATTGATGGTATTAGGACCGTCATATTTACGAATGTACCCATCCGAACCTCCCGTGATCCAGTACCTCAAATCCGGAGTGATAGCCATCGCATTGACACTCGTCGATTGCGGCGCCGCCATGGTCGGCACGATATCGTAAGACGCAGCGCTGATGTACTCGGGCGACGGCTGCGGCCACCGCCTGTCGAGACTCGGAGCGGGTGTAGCAGATTTCCTGGGCTGCGATTGCGAATCATCGGGTTCAGATTTTATCTGGGTACCCGTCTGATCGTTTGAGTCTGCCGCAGGCGGTTGAGACTCTTCGCCTTCACCGTCAGCATCAGCGTCTGCGTCGGCATTCTCGTCGTCGTCTTCGTCGTCGTTATTGTCATCGTCGTCGCCTTCTGCGTCTTGATCTTGATCGCCGTTGTCGTCAGCGTCCTCCATTGTCTCGTCGACGTCGTTGCGGTCGTTATCATTGTCATTATCGTTGTCGTTGTCGTTGTCATTGTCTGAGTCAGCTGAGCTGGCGGACAAGCGATCGTCGTCTAGGGTGTTCATGATGGGCACTGGGGAGGTTAGCTGGGTGTAATTGGGAGGTTGATGGAGGGAGACCTCAGGACAACTCTGGCGCAAATGATTCAGAGGCGTGATGAGGGCTTACCTGTATAATATATCCACCTAGCAAAAGTCTAAAGCATCAATTCATGGAGCACTCTTTGAACAAAGGATCCAATCCCCAATCGCATTGGAAAGTGTCGCAAAGGGTCTGTAGCCGTGCGCAGGATCGCCAAATCGTCTTTGAAGCTTCGTTAGCAGTCGCGAGAGGCCAGAGAAGAAGCTCAAGGTATTGAAGCCGAGATATAATAGGTATAGAGAGCAGTTGGCAAGGTTGCGGTGCCGTTGCAACTGCGGGGCGTGATGTATAAAGGTCCAAGTTTACTAAGTTTGAAGCTCCCTTCGCGCGTCGCGTTTAATTGGAGCTGGAGCTGGAGATGGAGATGGCCCGATGTGTCTTAGTGATATGCGGTACATCGTGGAGCCGAGGCAAGGGGCATGGGTCTCGAGGTGTTGGTGTAAGTCAACCTTTAATATTTCATTCATTGTTCTCAATTAGTTCAGCACATGACATATACTTGCCAATCAATTGATATCTCTACCTGTGACAATAGAGCGCCAGCAGTATTGACATTCAAGTCTATCAGTCTGCCATGTCAATTCCTCATCAGCTGAGGTCATCCACTTACAATTACTACTACAATCACATCACTCAGCATCAGTATCAGACAAACATTACAGACAAAGGGAATTCATTATTGTACTTACCACTCAAGGCTCAGTCTAGGTCTCTCACTGAGACGTAGCTATCAATACTTACCATCTCTCTCTCTCTGGCTTACACCAAAAGACTTACCTTAACTCCAATCAATCTCCCAAGACTCTACAGTAAAGGCCAGCTTCACTCACTCATCACTCCCTCTCTCAGCCACTCACTTCCTCCCCGAATGTCGTCTACTCCCACCACCCTTTAATCCCCTCCTTGAAGATCTCCGACTGCTCCGTACAGCAACCTCCGTGAGGGTATCATCCGGCACAACCGTCTCACCACTCCCCGGCCAAACCGTCGGAGCATTACTGCCCCCAAACACCGAAGGCTCCGGCTCCGGCCCATCCTTGACGCAATCCCTCCAAGACTGAATTCTAGTCTGCGAGCTCTCGGGGACGTGCTGAAGCGATCGAGGCCAGGCATCCTGAGGTACGGGGGGTGCTTCACGAGGGCTGAGAAAGAACTGCGATGAGCGTACTGATTGAACATCTGTATCGCGATGGCTTGAACCACCGTGCCCAAAGGTCTCAACTGCAAGATAATCCTCTCCGTCGCCGAGACGATGACGGTGGACTATAATCTCACCTGCGCTCCTCTGGTCCCGACGAGGAATATTCGCAAAGAGCGCATCATTATCAGCATCATAACTCACCCGATGTCTAAGCCTCTGCTCCTCCGCCGTCTCCGCCTCAACCCTCCCCAGAATCCGATTCAGCCCGGAATCTCTATGAACAGCCGTCGGTTCACGCGTGAACGCCGACCCCTCAGAATGCGACCACTTGGAACAGATCCTCTGCGCCGGTTCAGCACTCACAAGAGGCTTCTGCTCCTCGTCAGAATACTCCTCACCGCAGTCACTGCAGTCGCACTCATCTTGTGGCTCAGGAGGGACGTCAGCGTAGTGGCGCCATTGACGGGCTGTGAGGTTAAGATCTGGAGGTGCGTTTGCGAGACGAGCTTCGCGGGTTGCGGATGTGCTGCGTGGGTGACGACGGCAACGGGAGCTGCGACGGCGAGAGGGACCCATTGTCCATTGGCCTAGAGCGTCGAGAAAGCCGACTTTGCGGGTTGGGCGCTTGCTATGTCTAGGCATGATGGGCGAAGGGTCCTGGTTTTTGGTTGTGTTGGTTTGTTAGTGAGGATGAAGACTACCTTGGCTGTGATATCCTCTGCTGTGAGCATTCTCAAAGCTGTTGACGATGAGGAGGGAAAATGAGATGATGCCAGGTAAGATCATCTTGGCTATATAGGTACTCATGAAAAGTCGACATTGCTGGAACAATAAGGGACTTCCATGGTGTACATGAGACTGTCACCACTGTCTTCACCCATGTACACCAAGTGAATGAACAAAGGCGCACAGCTACGATGTAAGAACAAACAAGCCCATTTTCTTCACCTGCGTATCTTACATGTTCTGTTCAGGCCAAAGCATTCATATGATGACTTCATCATTCACGCGTACGCCGCAGAAGAGTCTTGTCTGGCGATGACTTTACGACTCCCCACCAACTCAGCCATCTCATCATGGTCGGTCTGTAGCTTCAAGATCAAAGTAAAACTCAATGTGTATTACAGCTCAACGCATCGTAACTCGTGACTATATCTACATGCACCCAAATAGATCCAAGACATACATCTCCCTAGCCAAAGCCCTGCACAAGGTACATGCCAGCCCAATTGTCTCAGGCACCACCTCATTTCCCCTACATTCCTCAAATCAATCCCATATATTTCAGCCTCTGACGCACTCATTCATTCAAATCCGTCCCTTCCGGGTTCTCTATTCCTTTCTTGCTTCTTTCTCTTCCTATCCTATCTTACAGCATATGGCTATTCAGCGTCGCTGTAAATGCGCACCAACTTCAATGCCAGTACACATCCTCACTCACTAACTCACTCAACCACCGGTTTTTGTCCCTATTCAATCCACCAACCCAAGTTACTCCCATGTATTCTCATCCATCAATGACATAAAAGGAAACAAAGGACGACAGGACAGCTGCATCACCCAACTCCACCTTTTTGATCCAGGACCAGGACATGAGAAGCCCAATACATTTCTTTCAGCCTGCCGTGACAAGATAAAAAAACAACCCAGATGCCCTCACCTGTCGTCTCGATGAAGGGGTATTATCATTATCTACTAAGGAAAAACAAAAAAGGAAAATGCTTGCAGGAACACCAGGAGGTCCGCAAAGGTTGTTGTTGATTCGATTCAAGGAAAACGTGGGGAACCCAAAACTGGGCAAGCAAACCAGATGGCTCAGTAATGTCCAAAAGTCAAAGAATGTGTTGTGTGTGTGTGTGTGTGGCTAGCTTAAGCTCATGAGGTGACGCGAGGGTCATTGAAATATTGCACCATGCCCCAGCCACCTGTAGCACCGTCATGCTGTTGGCCGGGCTGCTCGACAACAGAGCCTGTGAGACTCTCCCAGTCGTCAAACAAAACAGGCGGTGCTGGCGAGTACTCAAAGTCCATCATTGACTCACCAGCGTCGTGGCCCTGCGAGTGAGGGGGTGGTGGTAGCTCACGCTTCTCGAGCGGAGAAGGCGCTGGTGGCGGCATCAACGGCGATGTTGAAGGTCCCATTGGTGAGTGGGACGAAGAGTCTGGGGACGGTCTCGAGGGTGAGGGGAATTGTTGAGAAGGCACCATTATCGTGTTTCGGAACGGCGTGTTGAATTGGGTCTGTTGAGGATCAGGTGAAGGCATCAGAGACTGATGCCCTCCGTGGCCCTGGGTAGGCAGTGGCATAAACGACATTCGAGGGTCGTGTGTAAAGCCCTGGGGTCCAAGACTGGCATGTGAGTACTGCGGAGAGGGGATTGGTGCTGAGGTAAGAACAATATCGGCCAGGTCGTACGCAACGCTGACAATCCACTGAGCTTCACCTTCATCCCCGGAGAAGAACTCGAGCAGATCCTGGAGTTGGCCGGGGTTCTCGTTCTCGAGGAAACCTTGGGCACGGCCAGTCTTGCTTGGGTGCCAACTGAACTGGGGTCGTCGGCCATTGTACTCGGCCTGCTTGCTCACAACCAATGCATCCCAAGCCTCGTGGATCAGAGGCTGGTGGAGGAGACCGTATACAACACGAGAATGCATCCAGTCACCCTTTGTCATACCCGACTCGAAGTGTCGAGCAACGTGTTCGACGTGGCGCTCGCGGGCAGGGTGAAGGGCAGAGCAGAAGCCGCAAGCCCAGTACTTGCGCTTTCGGAGGAACTTGACCACCTTCTCGGCGTGAGGGCAAGTCTTGCATCCGTGACACTGCTTGTGATGCTGGTTGAACGAGTTGGATCCCCAGAAGCTGCGGTTACATCCAGGCTCGGGACAAGGATACTTGCGCCAGCGCTCGTGAAACTCATCCTCGTGGCGCTTCCAGTCATACTTGCGCTTGAAGCTGGTCTCACACGAGGTGCACCAATAAATGTTGGTCTTACCAGCTGTGCCGACCGGGGCACTCATGGGACCGAGTCCGTTCAAAGAGCTGGAAGGAGGAATAGGGAGCGGCGCCTGCGATCGGTTGCAAGTAGAAGCGGACTGCCAAGACATCGAAGACTGTCCCGAATTGGTCGACCAGATGGAAGCATGCCCAGAAGAACCAGAACTCGTCGAGGAAACGGAGATGCGAGGGCGATGGCTGAATGCAGCTTGCGGGGGAAGAAACATGGCTGGGTTGGGAACTTTATTAGCATCAATGTTAGCAAACTTCCAGGGGCCAAGGCTTCATTGTTGGGCAAGCTTCACGTACAGTTCATGTCCTCGGAAATGATTTCGTGCTTGATCTCAGCTGAAGGGGTCGTGGCAGTGGATGAAATGCTATTCGGAGTCGTCGTCACGGTCTGGATACTAGGGCCATTGGAGGCAACAGGAGGCGGAGGAGGGCATCGCATCGGTGGTGGAGGAGCGAGCGACGCAGTAGGGGCCGTTTGACTCGGGTTGGGAGGTTGCTGGCTAAAAGGAGTCTGCTGAGGTTGAGAAGGAATCGTAGGCATGGCTTGCATGGCTGTCATCGCGCTGAGGTTCAAGCTGAGGCCATGGCCACCGTCGACCAGCTGATGTAGAAGCTCCTTGGACATGCCTGAGTCAATCAGGACCTGGAGGTTCTTACGGGCCTCGGCGAGGACATCCTGAGGGTTCGCGTCGTGAGACTGCTGGGGCGAAGGACTCGGTTGCTGCGACATGCTGTGCTGTTGGAAATCGAAATATTGTTGGGGGCTGCTGGTCTGACTTGAGGTCTGTCGCTGATTCTGGTTCTGTCTCGGGTCCATGGGCTCCGCTCACATGGAGGGAAAATCGGAAATTTCGACGTGAATCAGGATGAGCAATACGATGATATTCGAGTTTCGTCAGCTGGTTTTAGAATTTGGGTTGGATATAACGCGGTTGTTGAAGCGAATGTGGTTGAAGTCGATGGATGATGAGCTGATGATACGGGGTTGGTAGCGAATGAGTTGGTTCCGTCAGATTTCGGGAACGATTAAACAACGAAGGACAAAAGCGAGAGTCTAAGGTCCCAAGACCTTTGAGCGAGAGTGGATATGAAGCAAAAGAAACAGGAGAGAAACGAAAGAAGAAAAGGTTGGTGACGGTTAGCTTGGAGTTGTGAAGAGACGACGGGAAAGGATGGAAGATGATGGGGGATGGGGAGGGTAGTGTAGGAGTAGGCGCAGGCCGCGGCGACAGCGACAAGCGTTGGTACAGGCTTGCTCAGTCAGGTACAGGGAGTCTCTTTCTCGTAGGAGTGGGAGTGAGGAAGAAGCTAGACTAGGGGTGCTGGAGTCTTCCTAGACACTGGGTCCTGGGTCTTGATCCCAGGTCCGTTCGGTACAAGCACAGTATCCGTAGATGAGAGATCAATGGCTGATGGGGGGAGAGAAGACGGAACGATGCTGATGGGGCAGAGATCAGAAAGGGAAAGGGGCGTGTAGTGCAGCCAGGATATTTCTCCGACTAATTAATGATCGCCTTTTGATGTTTTGTGTGCCTTTTGTGTTTTGATCGTGGTGTTTAGGGGGTGCGACAAAATTGGTCTGTGTAGCTCTGTGCTGCTGCTGTAATTGCGGCTGTAGACAGCTAAGCAGAGCGCTATCGCTGGTGCTGGAAGGAGCTTGTCGCACTGAAGAAGGGGGGCGGGCCCGATTTGGAGCCCGTGCCAGAGGCGTCGGTTTGTGATTCTGGCACCACTCGCTCACTCAATTCAATGACTGTCTGGCTGACTGCCTCAAAAAGAACAGACACCCACGAGACTGGGACTGGGGCAGAACCTAGAAAGGAGCAAATGGGGTCGAAAAGTAGAGCTTGAACCAACCGAAATCGCCCTTGCTGTTTAAAATGGGGCACCACTTTGGTTAGGTTCGGGTACCTTGCTGTTGCGGTCTTTTTGGGGGCCTGTTCCTTTTTTTCCTGTACCAAGCCCCGTCCCGTACTGTCCGGCTCTTGAGCCAGAGTTTCACAAAAATTAATGATTAATGACGAGCCGCGATGGTTTCCTTTGTGGAAATGAAGAGGACGGGAATCCAAGATCACTCACTACCCGTGACGTGTGAACAAGCTTCCCAAAAATAGAAGAGCTTATTCCCCGTGAGAGAGTGTAGATAAAATGACGGGAGAGGATGAGAATAGAGTGAGAGAAGCTATGGATGATGTGGAGGAGAAAATGATCCAGGGGATGGGTTCGAGGAAAGAGATCAAGGATAAGGTAAGGTCGGAGGGATAGATAAAATCGACAGGTACAGTTGAATAGTGACGTGACGCACAGGAAGGATCCTATTGACTGGCCTGGACTGCATTGCCAATGTACGCCTGCTTACCTTACAGCGCGCTGTGATTCACTACCGAAGTCCCTATTCGTGGATGAAGCCGTTGTAGAAGTAATGGAAAGCGCTACTGTCATCATCTGAATGGCTCCCGTCGATTCGTTTCGATAACCGCTCTACTAAGCAAACAGCGACGATCTCACCTGGCTCCTCCATCCCCTCCCTCTCCATCTTGCCTCGTCTCTCAACTCATCACGATCTCTCTGCAGAGCGTCATAACAACGAGATCTCCCCTCCCGCGCCGTCGACCGACAGGCGGGACCTGATGGGCGACGAGACAGGCACATCCTGGTTCTGTTTGGGTCGAAGCGGCACCAGGGGTCAATGACGAGCCCAGGAGCCAGGACAGGGGGTCTTGCAGCAGAAACCGACCTAGCCAAGACCAGAAGCCAAGCCAAGCACCAAGCCAACAGGAGCCAGGGTTCAGAACCAGGTCCTGGCAGTCAATCCCAAGAACGATGGCGGGAGCTTTGAGTCAAACAGCCAGCGACAGAAAAGGCGCCAGCTCACTTGTGACATGACAGCCTGCCTACCTGAGCCAAAACATCTTGTGACGGTGTATCAGTGTGTGCTATAGCCATACAAACACAGAAGCCCTTGTGTTTCACCACATATTGACTCTAAAGATAGCAATTCAATTACCTGCCTACTTGCTTGTGTTCAAGTTTGCGTTGTCGCTTTAATGCAATGTCTCTTGGCTAATCAAGCCAATAGGATTGCCCCTGTCCCGTGCATCGGCTGCAGGCACAGAGCGACAAGAATCGACATGGGGTCGTGTTCGGGAGACCGAGAAGCGAGCGTCCTATCTGTCATTGACAGAGGGCTGTAATGGCCGTAATGAAGCTGTTCAGAATGCGAATTTCCCATGACACGAGCATGGCATACGATCCACACAGGAAAGATCCATTGCCCATTAACGATACAATAAGGCGGCACCCTTTGCCCAAGCGTCCTTGTGCTAAAGAGCCCGGTTGCTGATCCTGGGCTGTCTATTTCCAAATCCCTTCTCTTTGCTCCGGGGTTTGCCTTGATCAAGGTAGTATAGTCCGTGGCACGTCCCTTGTTATCAGAACTGTTTTGCTAGCTGACGATGATAGGGATTACCACGTTTTTCTGGCAATCTCGGGGATTGATTCAGTCAATCAGATCAATTTTGGCTACCCGTAGGTCCCGTAAAGGCACAGTTCTTTTAGCCACCCAGGTCAAAACGTGCTTCCAGCCTTTCTGGGCAAAATGCTGATCTGATCTGGCTTGAACCCGGAACCCGCGCTGTAACAGCTATGCTCACCTGAAACACCAACGGCAAGGAACATTGGGTAAAGCCAACAGCCAGCGATTCAAGGGTTGCGATCCAAAACGGCCAGCCTAGCCAGGCAGAGAAGAGTTTACTGTGCACTGGAATGAGACAGAAGATAACCGTCAGCGCCGCCCGTCGAGCGTTTCGAAACGGTTTTCCGCCAATCAGCCACTACAGGTATTGGTCCGAGGGTAAGGCCCCGACAAGAAAAGGAGCAACATCCTTGGTTCGAATGATGTCGTGTCCGTGGTTCTATATGAACATGGGTAGCGACCGAAAAGAAGAAAAGAATACCTAGAAGAGGGTCTCTTTGAAGGGTTGGTTGTTACGCTGAAAAGAGTTCCGCTGTTGGGTTACAGCGACTGTCGAGCCCAGGTATGGATCATGACATGTGCCGGGCCAAGACCTTTCAAGTCGTCAATGACCAGGTAACGATAATTCAATTCGGTCAGCATTCAACATCCGGATTACAGCTCGATTGCAAAGCTTCCAGGATGACCAAGCCTGTGGCTGGGTCTGAAGCTGAGGCTGGAGCTGGGGGTCGGGGTTGGTTGAGCGACTGGACTGGGCTAGCCTTTCTGAACTGTAGTGATTTATGGCACCATCGTGTCTGCAACTCAACGTCGCACCTTGACGCCTCTTCCATCAGCCCGGACTGGTTTCTAATCAAATCATGAGAGAAACGCAAGGGGTAGACGAGAAAGGTTGTGGTTGGATCTGCTATACCTACCATGAGTGAGTCGGATAACTCTAGCTCTCAACCCCTGGATCGCCGCTGTCATCATCGTCATCGCTTACCTATCTCCTCCCGTCTTGGCCTCTCCACCCGCAACGAACGACAGGCAAAGGCAGGGCCCTCAATCAGTTTGCGTTTTCGTCTGCGCCCTTTTTCCGAGCGAGGCGAATTGACTGGTGCCTCTCAGCACTGTAATTCAAGTTCCCCGGGCCTTAAGCAACATGATGACTAGGGTCTTTAATGCGTCCCAGCACAGGGGTAAGCTTTTACTGGCGCAGCACATGTGGAAATTGCCTGGCTCTTGTCAGGACGAAAACAAACCCCAACTCAAACGAGCCCAACCGAACTCAACAGCCTCAGCTCGGTTGTCTGCATCTGCATCTATCTGCACCAAGAGGAAATACTCCGCTGTCAATCATCAAAAACTTGTCTTGGCTGGGAGATTAGCCAGAAGCTAACCAGCAGTAAAGTTTGGGTCACGCACTGTCCAAGTTCGAGAAGCTCGCTCTTACGTGCATCATTTCGCGTATCACGACTCCCCATGTCCCGCCCCCTTTCGCCGTTGAGCCCAGTTTGACCGACCGACACAAAAGATACCATGACGATCCAAAGGTCGAGAACCTTGATGATGACGATGTTAGAGTTGCATCCCGCCTGACACGCTCTGTTGGTGCCGATTAGCAAACATCTCATTACCCACAGTTCACGATATTGCTCACCCGCGTATAGAGTTATATTTTCATGGTCGCATCGTTACTGGTCCTTGAAAGTTTATCCATATCTGTTCTAGTCAGGGACCAGAGGTTACATATCATCATCATCATCACATGAACCGATCAACGACGCTATCGTGTTCTAGGCATGGTCGCCGAGACGCTGGGTCTGTGCTTCTAATTTCACCAAAGGGCAGAAAGTCACGAGAATCCTCTGCAAAATCACTTCTCGTTGAGTTCCGCTCTATCAGAGACACTTATGCAGCCATTGTGTCTAGCTTGTGTTCTTCAATGACGGCTAAAATCTCCTTAGGCACATATCCACAACATGATTCATTTGCGAATCCCACTTCGTATTCCAGCATTAAAAGCAGATCATATGCAACAAGCATGTCGCTGAAGACCCTTTTCTAGCCCATTTCTTGGGTTCGTGTTTCTATGTTTAAACATGAACACTATCACTGTCCCGCGTCGACCAAACTCTCTCTTGTCATAAACTCTGTGTATTCCGTACGTCTGTCTATCTGCATTTATTTTTAATTGTATTGTTGCTTTTTAGTCCTCCCGCATTTCACGTTCAGCCCCCTCTTCACAGAGAAAATCACAACGTCAAAGGTTTCACCATCCTTGGCTCGGGTACCTACGCACCGCACAGCACACGATTACCCAGCTGAGATAGCCCGGAGATAAAAGAGACAGAGGCACGGTAAGAAATAGGGGATGAAGGGTTTTTTTTTAAGCATGGTACCTTGACAAACCTTGCTCGGGAACAGAACGTTTCTATACCAAAGGAGCGATATACCGTCTAAACCCTGCCGTTTGGTATATATAAAAGGGCAAATATGTATTACATGCAAGGGACCGAGTAGCACCACGTTTTTTTGCGAGATAACATTTCCGGCAATTCGTTCACCGTCTCTTTCGAGAAGTTGTTATCTCTTTTTCAGCTGAAAGATTCTCAACAACAGAAGGGACAAGACTGTTGAACACAACAGCCCACTGCACGCTCCTCCAAATCAATATGAAACCAGCCTCCAAACGCACCGGCTCCGAGTGCGCCACCTCCTCCTCCGCACCCCGGCACCTCCGTCTTTCTCTTTGCAGGTCTTTCGTCGTGCAAAACTGCAGAAAGCCGAACGGAATCGGGGTCTTTGCTCCCTCCTTCTTACGGATCCTACTCTGTAAGGTACTGTTCCATTTACAGGGGGTTCATATTCTCGGCCGAGCACTGCCACGCGCACTGGAGTCGAGTTGGCTTGAGTTGAGTTGAGTTCCATTCGCTTGCCTTCACTTGACCTACACCCCGCTCCACCCCCTTTCCACTAAAACGTCAGCGATTTTCTAGTCCCGATCCTAGTTCGCCGTTACTTTTCTTGGATGATTACATTTCGTTTTCTTATTAAACTATAGAAAGAAGACAGAGAGAGAGAAAATAACTCGTACAATGATCAAAGTGTAACTGATCGTCAGGTTTGTGCTCTCGTCCGTGCGAACCTTTGCGATCGTCCATCTAAGACACCCGCACCACCCAAAGTTGGCAGTCCAAAACCCGATCAGGGACGATCAAAGAAACACTATGCCTGATCGCTCCGAATGGGATCGGAGAGGAGGGCTCCAACTTTCGATCTTAGGCTTGGGCTTGGGGCTTTGGGGAAAGACCAGACCGCACGGGCAGAGCTGAAGAGCAATCGTGCAACACCGGCGCGAGAGTGGTATTCCAAATCGGGTATTCATCAAAGTCAAAGCTCGCATGGCTAGCCGTCCTTTGCCCATCTGCCGATCGTATATGCCCCGTAATGTTTACTTGAAGAAAAAGTTTCCAAAACGTCCCAGCAGCCGAGATCGTCAGCCGACATGTCTCGGCGAAGTATAATCTTCAATGTACTTGAGACGACATGGTCCGCTTTCCAAACCAAGTTCAGTGCAGTGAGTAGTACACTTTATGCACTCGTGCTAAAGTAGTAATTCTCCCAGAGGTACTCGTAGTCCTCGAGGATACCGCCGATGAAGGAGGGCATTCTCTTCGTTACACCTCCGACGACTCCCTTGGTGATGTTCTCGTATGCAGCGCCCCTCATCGCCCACCAACCCATGGCCCAACCACGCTTGCTCCATTCTTCCCGTTCAAGGGATGTAGTTCGTAACCCTCGGTCTCGTAATTGCCGGGCAGCATACTCGACTGCAAAGCCGATCAACCAAGGGGTCCAGTTCTTCTTGTCGCCACCTCTCCTGATGTTGTAGGCCATGGCTGAAGCGTAGATAAGCGGTGACAAGATCTGCAGTATCTCAGCACCCTGACCACTTCCCTGAAGTTGATTGAGGAGCTTAGTCGCGGGTTTGATGTCGTCAGCTGTAAGCACGCGTCCCAACAAATACGAGCTGATGTCTCCTCCCTCTGGTAATGATGGTAAGCTCATTCCTGTTCGGGGCATGGTCCATTCACGCTCGTGCGCGGGTTTCATGTCCCGCGAAGATCCTGACGCAGAGCCGTTCACCGAAACATCGTCCATGAGTTCACTTTCACTTCGGTACGCAATCTCTTCCTCTTCATCTGCGGCCGCATCTTCAGGGATGGGCTCACGTTCAGGCAGCACGGGCGTGACCAGTGGACGCGACCGGGTGATGCGCAGGAGTAGAAGACGGCAGAAGGCCTTAAGTGCTTCCAGGATCACGACTACCTTCCACCGTGACTTCTCGCCACCTCGTCGCTTTGCTGTCATCTCCCATAGCATCTCTGTATAGATGATCATTTGTAAAAACATAGCTATTCTTCGGTATGCACCACTCCGTTGAGTCCAATATCGTGTATATCGAGCATGTGCCGATGGCATGCTCGCCATCGGCAGACGCGCGATGGCCTTTTGGAGGAGGGAGTCATGGTAGAGAGATAGAAGTTGGACACCCGAGTGGATTGACTCAGATGCGATTTCGGCATCGCGGAAGCGGCCTGTAGGTTCGTTAGAAACAGCTCCAGACTTGAGCACTCGTCTCAGAAAAGCTTACCTGGAATTATATATGTTAAGCTCCGTAGAGCGCTCTCAATCTGTGACACCTGACCGGCATTCTTCGTTATGAACTCCTCATACGTAGACAGCCATTTGGGCGGTAATGACAGAATGCGACCGAACGAAGGTTTCTTCTGTTGTTTATTCGTCGTAGCAGATGGTAAATTCGTAGAATTCGCAGCCGAAGCAGGCACGTCGCGCTTCAGAGACGGGTCCATATTCTCCCTCTCTCCAGTCGGTCGGCGATGATCGGACAAGGGGGAACAGCGATATTAAAGGAGCGGTGCGCGCGTGAAGTCGGTCGTTGGCGGGATTGGAATCAGTCGCCAGCCATGACGCGCTACCGGCAGTATTGATAGGAACGTTGATGGAGATAGTTGATGATGATGGAATGAGTGGGAGAGGTGCTGCCAGCTCAGCTCAGCTGCGTTGGGCTTGTGGTTGATTCGCTTTGGCCCGCCGAACCCCGAGGCACAGGCACGTCACTTCCCGTCCAGGTGCTGGCTCAGAATGTGGAGGTGGCGCGTGCCTGAGGCCGACGACCTCGGCATCTGCGCCGAGGTAGGTACCCTAAACTTGGCAGTTGAAAGGGATGGATGATAGTGATAATAACGGCAGATAGTATGAGAGATGACTTTAAATAATAAACATATAGGATGCTAGTATCTTCTAGATGATGGTTTAATTATAATCTGTCCATATCCTGTAGTTTTGCTGTCTGTTTGTTGGTCAATTGCTGATTTCACGTGAAAATTGCACGAGTCGACAAGCTATGGAGCGACACCATCAAACTGGCAACAGTATAAAACAACAAATAGTGGTCAAATAAAAGAGCAACAATCACGTTTTGCACTCATTAGTATTACGATATAAGATAAAATTTAGTAATAATGTTTTACAGTATAAATTCACCATGCATCACACAATTGAGCTTGTCAGAATGGTATCATCATTCGTCTCTTGATGTTCACAGCAGATGCAACCTCAACACATCTAGATAGTATTGGATTACCAGCACTTCTTAAAACAAGTCGCAAGATTCCATAGTTGGCCATCGCCGTAGCCTAAAAGCACGCACGCCAAAACTCCTACGCTTGCTATCCATCCAAATCCTCCTCTATTCCAATCAAAACTCCCTTAACAAACACCCGAAAGGATCGACACCGACTCCGAGATAGGCTGTCTATGCCAATTCAACTGCCCATCCTCCCCAACCATAAACGCCGCCACTTCCTCAATGAGCTCCCACTCGCCCGTGGCCTGATTCTTCTCCGCATACCGAAAGATAATGTTCATTCCCAGATCCTCAAAGACGAGCTCTCTCCTCCTCAGTCTTAGCCACTGCTTGTCTTCATCGCCCTCCATTGCGTTCATAGCTTCGACTTCAAGGTTCTTTAGAGCGATTGCGCGGAATACACGACTGTCACGGAGGGCGTTGCGAATGGGGTATTTTCCTAGAATGCGAATTGCGTCTTGTTTAACTTCTGGATCGCGACAGCCGAATGCTGAGACAAAGAGCGGCCATGTCCAGCCTGAGTCCATTGCAAAGCCACAGTTGGGACGCGATGCGATTAAAGTCTCGGCGATGGCGTTTAGCTCCCGGTATTGTGGCGTGAGGTCCTTTGCTGTTTCGACGCCAGAGTATCGTGGCATGGCGGTGTAAATATAAAGGATGAGAAACTCGATGTGAAAGTTGATCGCTTGCAGATAAGACTGCTCATCGTTCTGGCGATTGTCCTGCGCGGTCTGAAGCAGGGGACTAAAGGATGTTGACCATCTTTGAAGCCAATGCCTGGATTCCTCCAGAAACTTTGAGATCCGTGGGTTTTGCCTCACGCTGTCTAGCTTCATTTCCAGTTCCTTCATATCTCTCACTTTCGTCAAAGCAAGCTGTGCCGTTGTCGCTGTCAGAAGGGGGATGTATTGCACAAGCTGCCTCTGCAGTAATGTCCAGTATCCATGGGCTTCGTCCAGCGTGCTGAAAACAGCGGGCATATCTTCAATCACACTGATATTCGTCTGCTTCGGCCTGAAGTAAGGTGAGTGCTTGGTAAACGGAGCAATACCTGGGGGTCTCTGCGGAGGCGCTCGTGGAGGCGCTCGTGGAGGCGTCTGCTGGTCTGACATGGCTTGCGGACTCGCTTGACTCTGTGGACTCGGAAGACCAACTGGGTTCTGCTGACTTGAAGGTGCGCTCGCCCACGGCGTACCAGGTTGACTTGGTGGACTTGATACAGAATGAGGACTGGACATCTGCGATGCAGGAGCTTGCTTGGCAGCGACTGCGGGCGGTTTCGGCGGGAAGAAGAACTTCTTATACGAGCCTATGAATGATCGCGACTGGAGTTCCAAGGGCTTATAGCAGTCCAGGATCTCTTGAACCAGCGCTGGAGGTGCCGGGGCGATTCTGACAAGACTGGGAGCTTTGTCGGTACAAGCTGCAAGCTCGTTCAACATGCTGAAGCCATGAGTGATGTGCTTGAGAGCCGCCGGCATGTTTCCTCGTTGCGCTTCGAAGCAGATGAACAGCAGAGACGCCAACATAGCTGTCCGTAGCCCTTCCTTCGTTGGTCTGGCCTTGGCTTGTAATTGTAGAGCCTCGCAGTAGTAAACAATTGCGTTAAGGTAATGTTTGTTGTCGCCCGCTAGCTCATTTCCAGGTGAGGATGCTTCAAACTCAACGTTGGAGGCTTTGCGTAATGCGCCCACTGCCATAGCGGCATATCTCAATGAGGGTTCCTGTAGTGTAAGTTGAGGCATCGTAGTCGTCCATAATCGTGAGTCTCCGAGTCCTCCACTGAGGAACCCGACACTAAGAGCCGACCATTCATCGAAGTAGGATCGCTGCTCACTACTTGTGAAGCAGATGGTGTTGATTGGAGGTTCCTCGGGGATTGTCGGTGGTCTTGCTTTCACAACAGCCGTTGAACCTGTAGTAACCTTAATCTTGGACGCTGCACGGGGCTTGGCTCCAGAGTTCGATGTCGCTTTTGATCTTGAGGTTGTTGAGCGCGGCCGAGGTTCGGTGGCGCTTTCAGCAGGTGTAGCTGCTGCGTCGCCATAGCCATCGCATGAACCTCGCCATTTTAAACAATTGAGACAGGCTGGTTTTGTCTCGTCACATTTGACATGTCGCCTTCTTCACGATGTTAGTGTGTTTCTTACGCCATGCGCGACCCAAGGAATTGAGTTCATACGACCAACTGCATGACACTTACTTGCCTAAGAAGCCATTAGTAACAGACTCATAAAAGACATGTACTGAACTCACATGTAGCACAACCCGTGCGTGCTCTACTTGAGCTTCGTCTTGTATGTCGCGCCCTAGTCTCAAGTGCAAAACGATGCGTACCAGCTCTTGAAGCCGTCGCATTTGCAGATCTCTCAGTGTCTGTACCTGAAGAACTAAAGACAGGACGGAAAGTCAGCTCAGCTCGGATCCATATTGTGTGCGACAGGGTTTCTGGCTTACGGCGCCGAGCTGTTGGATCGCCCTCCATTGATAGGGATCGAGAACTGGATCTCCATGATTAACAGGTACCAGGGGTTCCACCAACAAACAAAAACCCCAAGACAGAATAAACACGGCTTGTTGGTTCAAGGCTCGAAAAGGAAGATCGTTTGTGTGAGGAGAAGCCCGCTCGCGCAGAGACGAGATGCCGTTCTGGTAAAGTAGAACGGGAGGGGACGGCTCGGTACTCGGTTTTGGAGCTTACAGGGGACGGGCCTTGATGTACCGATCCAATACTGTGCTGTGCCGTACCTGGCTAAGCCAAAGTGTAGAACCTATCGGTGGTATCTTTCAACGTCAGCGGCGCTTGTCATGAGGCGAGACCCCGAAATTGAGTGGGATGATAACAATGACGAACTCCAAGAAAATATAAATTATTCCCACGTGTGAAGAAGCAAACGGGTTTATTAAAAAGAACCAGGGGAAAAGGGGAGAAGGCGAATGTGGAGAGAGCCAAGCAAGATCAAGCAAGGTTTATCTTGTTAGTCACCTCCATCAGAGGTTGAATTGACTTTTGAGGATATGATTTAGCTGAGTCTTTTGAAACTGATAGCTAAACTTACATTTTTTGACGTGTCTAACGGGATCTAGAAGCTCAATTAGATGTAACGGCGGTTCCGTTGATCGCTGGGCGGACGAGGCGAGACGGTATATGGATCAGCATGGGTTTGGTTTAGCTGCCGGGTTGTGGAGGGGGTCTGATTACAGCGGGGATAGAGTTCCTTGATTGGATGAATCTGAGATGATTGGCGTGAATACGGCGGTTATTGTGGTTAAAGATAAAACTCATGATATGGATCTGATGTTGATATCTCTCGGCATTTAGAAGCTGACTGAGATTATTATAAATTACATTACGGCAAGTTGTTCAGTGCATGTGAAAAGCAATCAGCCTTACTATAATAGTTATGTTTTAGATAAATGAATCCTTCCAATAAGTAGTGCGTCATGAATTAAGAACAAGAACAAGAACAAGATTTATTAGCATTAGATGGCGCGTGGTAGTGGGTACCTCTGAGATCCGCTAGAGCATGGAAACGGGGTCTCGGCCCAGATTTGAAGAATAACTGCCGCTGCTTCCGAAGACAAATGAGGAGAAACAATGCCCAAAGAAGTGTTGGGAGAGCCGGAGATTGCTAGATTGGGCACTCAAGCTGTCATATTCAGCATAGCGAGAGCGTTTTCAGATGTCTCCTTAAATGATGCCTCGATATAAAACCCCCACGCTCAATGATCAGACACGCAACAACCATTAGAGATAGACCTTCCACTGACTTTTCCCTCACCTTTCAAGCATCCATCACAGTCACAGCGGTCGCACTTCGTCCCATCGTCCATAATCCAAGAATAGCCTACCAATCGACTCCTGTCCAACTTCCCCTCACGGGTGGGGAGATCCAGGGACCGTTGGAGGCGCTTCAGCAGGGATGTCAAGTTCAAAGTCGCACTGCCGAGACCGGGAGGAGGATTGAGTTCATCCCAAATCGAGGGGTTTCGACGATCATGGCGACATCCATGTTTCAACGCTTGATCCTATAATTAAAAGGCGCATCGCGAGGCATTCTTCAAGATGCAGACCGTTGTGTTGCATAGGGCTGAGGGTTCAAGGCTGGACGATTATGCCTCGATGGGTTGCATTGCATTGCAGTGAACCATTGCCACTATCTTGAAGCAAATGGCGCTTATTGATGCCCAAGTGTACACTGCATTACCTTGATGGTTGTCCGTCAAGTCTTCGGTCAAGTCACTTTGTGTCGCCTTTTCGCCATGTGCGGCACGACAACCCAGGACTCTTCGACGGTTGCTGATGTTAGACCCGTGTTGCTGACATGCCCGATTACAGCCGGAGCTAAAGATGACAAAGTCCTGCAGATCTACCGGCATTGATGCAGCTTATACGAACGCGAGACATCTGCCATTCTGCCAATCACTCCTCGCATTGCCGTTGGGTCTTGGGTGAACCTCAACCGATCCTACCACAGTATACCTCTACCGTCCATTGACCTCACATTGCATATCACATGGAACGGCCGATACATGTCGTTGGTTCATATCATTGACATTAACTCATTAAGCCATCATGGCTAATAATACACATCGCTCCATCCCGTCCGCACAGCAGACATTTAAGCGCGCTCACTCGCAACCTGCTCAGCCTTAACAGGTTCTCTATCCTCCGCACCCGCATAATCCACCGCGTTCTCACCACCCTTTCCACGATAGTTCGTAGGATGATCCCGGTCCGCACCCATATCATGGATAGGATCAGAGGGGTTCGCACCAACACCCGTAAGACCAGAACGATCCTTCTTCTCCCGACCGTGGAGCTCCTGGCTAGTCTGCCCAGCGGCAGGCTTTCCTAGACCGGTGTGCACATCAGCGGACGTGGCACCCCCGAGAGTCGCGGAGGCAGATACGGCGCCCGAGGCACCGGGGGCTTGGGCGGGGATTTCGGTCTCGGGGTTGGGCTGGAAGGTATTCTCGGGGGGAGCTGTGCCGGCGGGATGTTGCTCGGCGTGGAACTCGGGGACAGCGTCGTTGCCAACGAGAACTCCGGGCTTGTGCTGGCAAATGTGAGTATGATGTATCATGAAGAGTACTTCTATGACGATTGACTTACGCCCTTGGTTGTGAGGGGCTCAGAGGGAGCGACCTTGCTTCGGAACTCACCCTGTTGGGGAGTAGCAGACTCGGGGTTCATAGACATGATGATTGTGTTGTTTGAGGTGTTTGAAGATGGGTATTCAATTAAGCCTTTGTAGGATCTTTGTGTATGATCACAGAAGAGTTATGAGAATGAAGAGGATGAAAGTCATGTCTTACACGCTGTAAGGCTACATATAAAGCATCGTGATGCCGCATCTACACATGTATGATGTCAACATCTTCATCGTCGCCATGACATCACTCTGTGCACGTCGCACGAGATCCAGCCATCATCAATACTATCTACATCGTGTCTGTTGAAGAAATCACTGTACAATGACTCTGTTCAAGGCGAAATCGATCGATAAAGATATTCGGCGGATGAGATATGTGGAGCGGACAACGGAGTTTTGCTCCGCGTGAGAGCTCGTTGGCTGATGTTGTGGAGGAGGGCCCTTGTATACAACGTCATATGCGCTTGGCTTGTGGTGAGGCTTCCGTGTATACTGATTTGTTTCACTGTGTGATGCCGGGGTTTGAGGATGAGAAATGGGGAGATTTGCTTGAAGGCTAGCTGGTGTTGATTGAAGAGCCGGTCACATGAGCGGGTTTCTTAAAGGTCTTGTGCGAACAGGTGGTATGGAGTGTCGCGTGCTGTGTTTCCTTGTTCTTTGAGTCGGTGCATGATCTAGATCCTGTTAACGATCGGGAGAGGCCATTGTGATTGGCGGTTCATACGTTCGTGATGCTCAAAATGGTATTGTTGACAGCTAGCCAATTATAACAAGCTTCTTACAACGACAACCATGAAGCTAAAACTCTACATGATGAACCGGATGCCGGGTTTGGAGTGCTTCTCATGATATCAGATCACGTAGCACATATACCCTCCATGAAATCAAGTATGCTGCAACAGTCTTGTAAGATGTCCCGGCACCTCTGGCTCGGACAAACGATGAGAGGATGCGATTCGTCCAACTGCAAGTCATCCAAGTCCTACTATGCTTCGCTCAACTCGCTTCTCTCCATCGAAAGCCACGACGTCTGCTGGAGGACGTCTGCTGAAGGACCTTGTGCGATCTAAGCACAAAGTCCACAAGCTGTTCTCAAGGCGGCGTCTACGAGAGCGCGGTGTAATCATGAGCAACAATTTCCACCCAAGGCAAGGGCAATCAATCGTGCTCTTCGTGTAGTAGGCTTGAATGTACGTATCGTAGCTGGCAAGGGTCGATTGACTGATGTGAGCATTGAGGAACAGAGATGATGTACTGGCAACGTCCCTGCAGGTGGTATCTTATGCGCAATGGCAGCCTCACCAATGTCTGAAGCAATGCGACAGACCCAAATAGGTTTGCGGCATGGCTTGAGAAGGACTTGTGGTGCCTCCGACAACGGACGGCGCAATGGTTCTTAGTTGTGAAAATGTCACAGTAATGGTACTGCTTCACAGCCTTCGAAGCTCAGCCTCTGATCGGGCGACAATGAAGAAAGTCGTGAATGTATTCAACAAAACATACTGCGCAAAGCACACAGTCGACAGTCCACCACCGAATAGCGCAATAAACATCATCTCACCAGGCTGGCGTTGTTCGCCCACTTACGTTGAACATCATGATGTTGTTCCAATTGAAGTCACCTACCCTGCATCTTCCAGCAGCGCCACAACAAGAACTCTCAACAACTCTCTCCTGTAAAAATTTTTCCTTGGCACCCGCTGTTAGCGTTCTGCTAGGGCAGAAAAGTTTTACAGGCCAAAATGGCAACAAATGCAGCTGCGGGACTAGCGGGACCCTAACAGCTGCTGGAAGAAAGGGATTCGGAGAGTTGACCTTTCTTCGTGACAAGTGTTTTCAACGGCACTGAGCTTCGCGAGCTTTTGACATCGCCTCCGG